CAATATTGGAATTATAAAATTAAACCAAAAATTTGTTACACAAAATAATGCTGCAGAAAGGAGTGCTGTACTGCTGCGAAGTCAAATTCTCTGTCCTCATACTCCCTTAAGTGAGGTGTTTGGTTTGGAAGAAAATTCAGAATTGCTGGTGGGACTTGGGAGAGGGACCTACCTACCTGTCTTGAAATGTACAGTGGCACCCTAAGCGAAAGGGTCCATAAATAAACAGGATCCTCTGGTCTTAGAATTGGACGGTTATGATTATTGATTTAGTTGACTTCAAACAATTTTGATTAGTTGTTAATCTTCCCAGTTGGCCACAAAATCTGTCCAAGGACGGTGATGATGACTCTAAATACAGCTAGATGTATCCACAACAGATGAATATTACTTCATCAAATTCGAAACGATAAGTTTAGTATTTGGTAATGAAAGTTTCAAAGCTGGAATAGAATAGAGGTGGTTTTGAGTTATCCTAGGCGGAGGAGGAGAGAATTGAGGACAAAGTTGTTCTTCTTGTCTGTGCCTTGCACTTGCACACGGGGAAATTTATTATCAAACCTTTTTTTTCGTCTTTATTCAAAATGACAAATCCAATCTATATTTGTCAGTGGCCGTGTGGTTTATTAATAGAATTTTAGATTTTTAATTATAATAATTAATATTTTATTTTTTAATATTAACCTAAAATAATTCATATAGATGAAACTTATAACTAATTATAGGTAAGCAAAAATTGATTCAAATCAATTTAATCGTTCGAAATCAATAAAAAATATTATATTCGATTGATTAAATTGATTAAATTAATCAAATTAATTAATTTTTAATAAATAAAAATAAAAAATTTAAGATAAGTATTTTTATTTTTTTTTCTTATAAAATGTTATTTAAATTATTAAATTTTTTAATGATTTAATATGAATGATACTTAAATTTAAATTTTATTAAATTAAATTTATAATTAAATAATTATTTATAATATAAAAAATAAAAAATTTGATTATTTAATAAAGTTAAATTAATTTTAATTGATTCAATTATGATTAATTATTTAAAAAAATTTTATCAATTCAATTACTTATTAAATAAAATTTAATTAATTTTATTATTGACTTTTTTAAAATCAAACCGGAATCAACCAACTTTTATAATCAACTCTTTAATAATAAAACCGAAATCGACCAACTTTTATAACCAACTCTTTAATATTATAAAATAATTTATTTCTTTACATATTAGATGATATACGATTTATTTTTGTTATTCTACTATCATTGAATATGTGTGGATAGTGAATTAATTAATGTTAATTATATATTTATTTATTATTAGTTGGGAGAGGTGGTCCTTGAAAACTTTATTAAGGAGCTGTAGTTTGACCCCAAGTCTCCCCAAAGAGGAAAAAACAATGCTAACCCATAGGTAGCTAAATAGCTAATGATCCATGCTCCGACCGTCGGTCATGGAGACTCGACCCTCACGCAAAATGATAAGCTGTGAAGACCACTCACCTGGAGAAAATTGAAGGGAGCTTTTTTCCGTGTTCTTACACTATGATTCAATGTATGTTTCATTACAAAACAAAAAAAAAATACTTCTCCGCTTGTCTCATTTGCTCTCTTCAACTTATGTTGCCAAATTCCAAAAATTAAATTATTTTTTATTTTAAAATATTTTTGTAATATTTGTGAGAAGTTGTAATTAACGCATAACATTTTTCTAATATTTTGAATTAGCTACATATTTAAAATCTAAGATTTAAGGTCAAAGACTAATAAATTAAGAGATTCCTTAATTAACGAGACTTTATGGGGATTATATTATCTAATTAATCTAATTAATCATTGTTTAAGCACCTGATATAGCCTATTATGACCAAGCTACACTTGATAATTGTGATGTTTTATGCTATGTTAAGTAATTATCTGGTCAAAAAGCTACCATCAATTTTATATAAAATAATAATAATAATAATTAACAATGGAAGTGAAGTTTTGCTCCCTGTCTGGTGCCTTGAGTTACAAGGTTAATATATATATATATATATATATATATTTTTGGTAGTAATAAATTCATGGCCTAGGAAACATGGTTGCTTTTTCAATTATGGAGCCTTGTACAACAATCAAATTCCATGTTCTCTTCTTCAATCTCCATCTCTTGCCTTCGATTACGCTGGAAAGACACGCGACCTTTTCAGTGGCCTAGAGGAGTCTAATTTCTTAGGACTCCACTCCATCTAAGCATTTCATTCATTCAAATAAATTGGGCTTCGGGCCGACATCAGGTAACAACCAATTTTTTTTATTAAAAAATAAAAATAAAAATAAAATATTAAATATCAATCAAGCAAAACTTAAATAAAATTTTGAGCTTAACTGTTCAAATAATAAATATATATAAATACCCATCAATGTTGAATTCATTCGTATGCATGGATTACAATATTTTTTATATCGTCGATTTGAAATTTTTAATAATTATTCTAATATTAAAGAAGACTATAATAATATATTTTGATGACAAACCATGCACCATCAAGATATTCCGTCCGCCTTCAATATTGAGAATTGCAGGGCAACGAGCTTGAAAGATCCCAATAGAAAATTGGATTTGTTGGGTAAATTTAGTATGCTTCTGGGCCTATTGTTCCTTATCAACCAAACCATTCTCAAACAGTTGCCTTCTCAACTTTCACCAAATGAAAAAGGTTGGCACTTGGCTCCATCAAAACCAGCATTGATAACTAGATCCTACTAAAAATGGCTAAAAGTCAAGCATTGTTCTTACCAAGAACAGTAAACTAAAAAAAAAAAATAATGGTGGGGGCATGTGTCATTTCTTTTGTTTTATGTCATAGCCTGTTCATTTGGGCCACATATGCTAACGAAAATGCCCGCAATCAATAAAGACATATCTTTCCACGCCGTGTTAACAGCAGGTTAATATTAAAAATAGTATCTAAATTACAATAAAATATTTAATGTAACATTTAAATTTTAAAATTTTTAATATAATACTTAAATTATTAATATATTAATTAATATAATATTTTAAATTTTATTTATTCACCACATGATTTAAAGTTTGTCATATTAAAAATAAATATTATTATATTAATTATAGATTCATAATTTAATATTAAATTAGAAAATTTAAACATTTTTTCCCTTTTTCCTATTTAATTATTTAATTATTATTATTATTAGTATTATTATAAAAATGAATCTCTTGGTTTGTTATTTATTATGATTTATTAATCGTCAAATATAACTTAAATAAAAAGTGAATAATTCAGATTGACACAATTATGCCGGAGCAAACTGAGCTAAAATTCCTCTGAAGTCAGAAGGCGGATCGGGTAAGCTAGTAAAGGTCCGAACTGAGCTAATTGGAATTTTTTAGCCCAACCTTTAACACGTACAAGCTTCTGTCATTTGGGCCCTTTTTGTCTTCTTTTGAGCATGGACTTCAATCTTATAAAAGAAAAAGATACATTAGAAAACTTCGATTATAAAATCCCATCTTAATTTTTTTTTTTTTATATTTCATGAGATTAAAATTTGATTATTGTAACTTTTTGTTATTTCATGTTATTAAAGATTGAACTTGGATTATTATAATTAAAAATTTAGCACTTACCAATAAATCAAAAATAAATCATATAATTGTTGATTCATTCTAAATTTTTGAGACAAATATGTTACAAAACTTATAATAATAATAATAATATGGTATAGTTAGCCACATAACACATTAGATAGACGAAAAATGAAGATATTCAAAAACATTGAAACTTAAAGTATGAAAAAACAAGAACCTCAAAGGATTTTTAACTCATCATTTAATCATGGATGATGACTTTATTGGCCAATGCCAAAGAAAAAAGTAAAAAAGTCATTTTTAATGATGATCATGATCAAGATAAGTTGCATTATTGGTCGAGTTAAAAAAATTATCACAAAATACATGAAAGATCATATATACTTTTTTTAAAAAAACAATAAATGCATCAAAATACAATGTACTATATATATATTTTTTTATTTTTTAAGAGGGACATAGTCTTACATTAAAGAGAAAGGAGGAGGTTCGAGTTGAACCTAACTTTGATGTCTTCTTAAGATATTATTGATCACTAAATTAAGAAGTTGAAGATGAACAAGATTTAGTGTCAATAATTGATTCTTGAAACATTCAATTACCATTTTGCTTTATTTGTGGGAATAAATATAAAATATTTTAATTTAACATTTTAATGAATAGTTAACATAAAATTTAATATAAATAATAATTTAAAATATGATACGGTGATGTTATATGAAAATAATACGAATAAAGAATATAGAAATAATAAGACTTAAAATTAGTATCAATAATTGATTCTTGAAACATTCAATTACCATATTTGCTTTATTTGTGGGAATAAATATAAAATATTTTAATTTAACATTTTAATGAATAGTTAACATAAAATTTAATATAAATAATAATTTAAAATATGATACGATGATGTTATATGAAAATAATACGAATAAAGAATATAGAAATAATAAGACTTAAAATTTTTAAAAAAATTATAAATAGGTTTAATAAAATTAAAAAATTATATTTTATTATTTTGTGTCAATATAAACTGTGGTTAACAATTTTTATGTAAAATATTATATAAATACAATATTTTACATGATACGGTGATATAAATTATCAAATCTACTATAAACTAAATATGTATATACACAAATAAATTTATTAATGAAAAATTATTTCATCCATTTCTAATTAAAATTTTAAACTTCAAAATTATAATTAATAAAATAACGCATAATTTTTAAAATATATATAAAAATAAAAAAATAATTTAAAAAATTCAAACACATAACAATCTTTTAATCAAAATTAAAAAATTACATTATCAATATATAAAAAAACAAAAGTATTAATTTTGTATAACCCATGTTAAATGAGAATAAAAAGCCTAATAATTTATCACCAAACATGCCTTAATTCTACAATTTTCTCTCGAAAGTGACAAAATCGACTATTGGACTTCTTTTTCCCCTTCTTTGAGCTACTTTATTCAGCGTTTATCTAAAAGTCTTAAAAACGATTATTTCTGCTTCAAGAAGCGTATAAGATTGGAGAAACTACCGATCCCAAACTCCTCCCTTAAAAAAAAAAAACAAATAAATAACTGTTAGCTTATTCTCCAAACAAGTCCTTATTTAAAACGCCACTTGCCTCAGCCAATATTTCCACAACAATCATCTCTTTCTCTCATATTTAATTTTTCGTTGCAAATTTAAGAAAAAAACCCTGAAATTGCAAGCTGCAAAAAAATTAAATAAAAAAGAAACCCTAGTTTCTCCAATGGCGAGACCTAATCAGGAAACAATCGCGACTTTCATCAGCATCACTGGGGCATCCAAAGCTGTTGCCATCGAAAAGCTTGAGGTAATTATTGGAAACTTTTTTATTAAATTTGAGCAATTTTTAATTTTTTGTTTTTTTTAGCTTGATTATTGAAGTGATTTCGGATTACAGGTTAATAAATAATTGGATGATTGGTTGATTTGTTAAAAAGTAGGGTTTCTCTTGCTTTGCATTGATGATTTAGTTTGTTGATTATCGTATTATTCGTTCCTCGAAAATAATTGAAGTTTCATTGGTCGACATTGGATTAGGGTTTTAGTGGACGACTCTTATCAATGGATTATTTTACGGTTTGAATGAATTATTGAAAAAATCGTTTTTTTTTTTGTTCTTTTCAATTGGTTGTTATATGTGTATTTAACTTATATTAGTCAAATGAACTTGTTTTTTTTTTTTTTTAAATTAACAAGAAAAGAAAGAAATTGGATGGTCGACTGGACACAAAAAAATTGAAAAAAAGGAGAGAATGAAGGAAAAGATGAGGTTGCAAATATTTCGAATTTGAAGTTGTGTTCTTTTCATGGTTCTGGCAAAAAGATACAATGTCCATAAGTGATATGCCTTAGTTTTTGTGAACCTCCATTTGTTAGTCATGACGCTCTTATAAAGGCACACAGTTAGTGATTTAAAAGCCTTGCGGCTCCTCTATGTCTTTGGTACTCTGTTTGCATTAGGACTCCTTAGTGTTCACCCTTCTTTCATAGTGATGGTTGAATTGATGTTTAATTCTAATTAGCAGACTCTGAGGTTCGTGGGCATCACTTCATTTTGTCATTCTAAGGTCCTTTTGTACGTTTTTCTGAAGACAATTGCTTGATGATGAGATTGTTCGGAAACATCATTTATCATGATCAAATTAACTTCTTGTTGAGCTGCATTTTCTTTCACTTAGTTGGGTTGTTTTTATCTGTTGCTAAAATCAAGTAAAATATGTGCATCTCTTGCTAACCTGTTAAGTATTTTACTTGGAATCAGGAGCATGGTGGTGATCTCAATGCAGCTGTAAATGCACATTTTAGTGAAGGAGACAGAAACACGTTTGTGAATTGTGCTATTCTTTTTTATGATTACTAATTCTGTCTATAGCTTTATTTTATTTTTTTGTTTCTATTTCCAGCACACAGCAAATACCAACTGTAGTTCCTGTAGATGATGCTATGGATATAGATGATCCGATTGAAGTTGCACCAAACAGTCCAGTCCTTCCACTTCTCCCAGCATCTGGAACAATGAACCGATTCTCAATTCTTGATCCAAACTCTCATAGAAGTTTCTCTGATGGTGCTTCTGCTTTTACAACTTGTGAACCATTGGTTACACATGCAAGAGAGGCAATAGAGGTGCCGATAGAGGATAAAAGAGAGGCAAGAGAGGTGCCGGTAGAGGTTAAGGATAGGAATGAGCCATCAGGTCATTCTGGTCACGCTCCTGCCATTGAGGGTGTCTCTGAAACTGCACAAGCACATGGCCTAAATACCAATGAGACTGTTATAATTGATGAAGTGGATGAGGATTCAACTGTGCAGCCAAGATGGCAGAATGATAACTCTCATGACCAACGTGTTACACCCAGTGCTCCCCCCTTTGATAATTTGCCAGGCTATGGCAATGACATTGAAGAAGAAATGATTCAAGCTGCCATTGAGGCTTCAAAACGGGATGTTGAGGTAAGTTTTAACAAACAGGTGCTTCCAGTTTGTCTGCTGCACTTCCTTCTTGTAGTTGGCATAAATGTTTGCCTTACAGATTTCCTTTTCATGTTTGTGCAGGAGTTAAGTGATCCTGGGCCTTGGCACAATCAATCTCATTTGGAGGATGCTGAACTTGCAAAAGCAGTTTCATTGTCCTTGAAGGTTTGTCGTGCTTTAGATTGTTCAGATCATGTTTTCCTATAATCATCTCTTCATTGTATTTAACATGAACACATTCAGACAGCAGAGCAAGAGAAGGCATTACGTGAGCAGGGTTGTTCTGCTGGAACATCAGAAGCAGAAGCTTCCAAACCAGCTGAGGTGCATCTGGGGAGCATAGCAGCCTCAAATGGGAGGTACATCTCTTTGTTACTGGTTAAGCATTAAGCAATCTGCTATTGTTTTCTGATTATGAATCTGTAAGTCTGTGTTCCTTCATTTATGGCTATATTGAATTGAGTTGATGTAGGTTAGCAGAAGGAAGCTCTTCCATTCAAGATGAAGCTGAAGATGCAGAGCAGCCTCCAGTTAGGCACAGGTCCAGGCGGACATCATCTGGCTTGAGGGAATCTGCAAAAGAAGTTGGAGTTGGTGAGGCTAGCCCACCATCAAGTCCTGGACTGCAAGGCATAGGCCATCTCCCACTGAACAATGGAAACAACTTCCCTTCTGATGAGGTTTAACCCTTTTATAATTTCTGCTGATGCCCAATGAGAACTTAAATATTCATTATATTCCATATTATTACTCATGATTTCTCTTCTATGTAATGCCTTTAACCCATGTTCTTTACTTTAAATAAATTTTTGGTTGTGCTCTCTACTAAATTGTAGTGGGGAGGCATATCTTCTACGGAGCATGATGAGGCAGTCATGCTTGAGGCTGCAATGTTTGGTGGCATCCCTGAAAGCAGATATCGTTTTGCATATGCACCTCATCATTTCATGCAATCTGAGGGCTCCAATCTCTGGCGTACCCCTCATCCTCCATCACCCTCTGTGGCAGCTCAACGCATGATACGGGAACAGCAAGTTAGTATTTTTGTGCTCAGACTGAAAGAAAATAGTTTTTTAAAATTTGGGCCAGAAGTAATTGTCTAACAGTTGCATGCTTACCGGATGCATTCAGGATGACGAGTATAATGCATCACTGCAAGCTGACAGAGAAAAAGAGTTGAAGGCAATTCAAGAAGCTGAAGCTCACCGTTTAGAGGAGGAAGCAGCTAGAAAAGCTGCTCTTGAAGAAGAAAAACGAAAGGAGGAAGAATTTCGCAGGAAAATGGAGGAGGAACAGGTATTATTTATAATTATTGTTTTGATCATCGATAAACTTAGCTGGCCACAGGGTCAGTCCATTTATTAAGGAAAATGATATATTCTTTCTTGTATCTTGATTTTCTAAGATAAAGGATGAGATTCTAGCAATAAGTCAAAGGTTTTTATTTATTTATTTATTTTTGCTTTTAAGTTTACATGGGATGATTAAATTTTACCAGTAAATTTGTACTGGAAGCAAGACAAACTTGTAAATCTCAAACAACTATTGTCTTCATTGTTGTCATCATTATTATTTCAATTCATTCCTTGGATGTCTTACTGGAGATTATACAAATTTCATTTTATTTTCCAGATAATTTAGGTTGCTCTCTACTAGAAAAAAGAAGTATTATCTATTTGTTGCTTTTCCGTGCAATCAACATAGCATTGCGCTCTTCTACTTCATTTACTCTTTGTAAATATAATTTCACTCATTGTAGATAATACGTATAGTTTTCTTGGTTCTGAATTGTATCATTTGTGATTCTTATTTGCAGGAATGTGAGAGACAATTAGCGGCTAAAGAAGCTTCTCTGCCTCGGGAGCCAGCAGCCGATGAGGAAAATGCTGTAACCCTTCTAGTGCGAATGCCAGATGGCAGTCGCAGGGGCCGTCGATTTCTGAAGTCTGATAGGCTGCAGGTAAATTTGTGAAGAAGAGTTTACTTCTGTTGCTTTTCCTTGTGCTCGACCTGATTTTGGTTTGCTTTGCAGTCTCTGTATGACTTCATAGATATTGGTAGAGGAGTCAAGCCGGGCACTTATAGATTGGTAACTTCATAGATTCATGATTTATTTTTCAGTATTCGATGAAAATATTCACTACTCGCCTTCCTGCAATGAATATGTACCATGCTAATTTTATCATTTCAACAGGTGAGGCCATATCCAAGGCGTGCTTTCAGTGATGGAGAGAGCAGTTTGGCGCTGAATGAACTTGGCTTAACCAGCAAACAAGAAGCCCTATTTTTGGAGTTGATCTAATAACATCTAACTCCTGCACGAATATTGCGGAAAGAAAATTACTCAAAAATTTTAGATTATTTAAATTTGAAGAAATGCGTGCAATTATGGAATTTCGTAAGGGTTTGTGTTTGGTTGAAATACATGAAATTTCAGGAGTGGATACAATTAATCTGACTGGAAATGGTCAGTATTTTGCTTTTTATTGGTGTTCAATTGATTGAAGGGAATGTATAGTATATATTAGTGATTTATGATATTATAAATGTCAGGTTACTTCTCATGATGCAGATCAAATCATGTGTATTGTTTCTGCGTTCATCAGTTCTCTGCAAGTTAAAAAAAACCTGTTATGAGCTGAGCCTGATACTTTAAATGAGATAATGTTTTGTGGAATCTGGATACTTTCCTTTTCTTTATAATCCAAGAAATTCCGTTGCAGCCTTGAAATAATGACATTACCTCTACGCACGGTATGTCATTCCTTGGCTACAAAAAACAATTCATTTCTAGCTCAACCGTTGAAATATACCAACTACCATGTGGGTTCAGAATTTACTCTGACACTCATATTTTTACCTTTCGTTGTAAATCTCCTTTTCACCTTTTTTTCCTGGGATGATTTACCAGGCTGTGTGTTCACGGTTTTTCTTTTCCAGTTTTTTTCCATCCTGTCTCTACTTTCCTAGATTCTTTCAGGTGGTCGTGGGTAACTGAACTAGGCAAATTGACCACAATGTCCCTACCTTGTTCCATCCTGGCAGAATGCGATTGGTAACATAAGAGACAGACAAAAAGGCCATCAATCTTAACCAACATAAGCGGGTCAAAGTTCACTTACATAAAGTAAATTACGATTAAATCCATCTAGTGGCGGCTGAGCGTGCGCCACGTGTTTCTATGTTTGTTAAAATTGAAAGGTCAAGGGAGTTAAACTCAAAAGATGCTAATTTTCATAAATGTAAGAAAAAAAATAATTGTGCTGTCATGCTGTATAACCCAACGGTCAAGTGAACGGGAATCAGGAGACAAGCACGTGCATGCCACGTGAACTTCACCATTCCATTCCATCCAAAAGAGAAGAATTTTCCCTCAAAAATTCGGAGTTCCAAACACCAACTCCTTCTCCCTCTAACGGTCATATTTCACCGACAATTCTCCAACGGTCACAAGACTATTACTCTCCATCGTCAGATCTCAAAATCCAACGGCTAAAGAAAAACTAAACTTCCTTTGTCTTCTCGAACTACAACTTTTCAACCTCTGCCCATCGTAATTTTTTTCTTTCAAATGAACCCCAGGAACCAACAAAAAAATTAAAAAAATGAGAAAAGCAATGATAGAGACGTGAAGGTGAAAGTGCTCGTAGTCAGGTGCATAGAGTAGTATACTGTAGTAGTAGAAGGAGTTAAAGCGGAACCAAGAAAAATAATAAAAGCTTTAGCTTTACTAGTATTATATAGAAGTATATAAAAACACAAACTTTTTCTGGTTTATGGTTTTTTTGGGTAGCGAGCTTCGAGAGATGTTTCATTAATGTTGGTTGATCGTTTTTCAGCTTGTTTTTTTATGCATGTTTAGTTGGTTTTCAAAGCTTGGGTTTTTGAGTTTGGGTTCAGTTTCAGGCTTTCAGCTACCATGGAGTTGTTTCAGACCTCAAAAGTTGAGATGGGTGTCAAAGTTTTTCAGGATTTGAAGTACAGGTTTGAGAAAGTATGCGTTTTTGTCTCCAATATTGATGTTTTTTACACTGTTGATTATGGTTTTTTTGAATGAGTTGTTTGTGAATGTTTGGGAATCCGATGGTTGTTTTCTGGTAGATGTTTTAGTTTAGTTTTAACAATTCTTTGATTCTTTCTGGGGAGGGTTTTTTGTTTTCTTTTGCATAATCTACTAATTATTCATTGCATACACAAACATTTTTCATATAGGAACACCTGACAAATAAAAAAGATCCATTTTCAATATTCTTTAATTTGTTACTGTATTTTTCGTCGGATTCCTTTTTATTTTATTTCTTTTGGTTTCTTGAAAAATTCTCACAATCAGAATTTGTCTATCTCTCTAGGTTTGATTTTTCCAGTATACATGCAAAGTTTCATATGAACAAATAGGATTTTATACATAAAAAAGAAGAAGACAAAAGATCATACATTGCACAGTTTCAAAATTTATAGAAACAAAGAGAGATTGGGAAAGAAAATAGAGAAAAAGAACTGGGGGTGGGTGAATTGAAATTGAACTAAAAAAGAAACAAAAGGAAGAAACTAGGAAGGTTGTAGAGAAATGTTGGCTGGGTGTTCTAGTTCTACATTGCTGTCACCAAGGCATAGATTGAGGAGAGAAGCATCAGCACAGTTTCAAGCTTGCCATTTCCAGACTTCAATGAGCACACAGAGATTGGACTTGCCATGTGGTTTTTCTCGTAAGGACACTTCAAGGTCACAGCCTATTAGGCCTGTTGGCCTTTCTGTGGAGAAACCAATTGAATCCAAGAACAGTGGTTGTTCTCTAAAGCGGAATATCCGGCTGCCACCATTGACTACTAGTGCACAAAATCCATTTGAAGGAAGGAGAGAGAACAAAGATGTGTTTTGGGAGAAAGGTAAAAGTTTGAAGAGGTTTGCTGAGCAGGGTTTAATTGATGAATCAGTCATTAGACGGGCAAAGAGGAAAAAGGGTAGCAGTGATAACGATAATTCTGGTGATATTCTTGAAGGTGGTGGTGATAATTCGAGTTTAGGCCAACTAGGTGCTGGAACTTTTTGGTTTCAACCAAGTTTCACAGGACAAAATGCTCCTCAAGTTCCTTTCTCTCTGACTTGTTCAGGGGATGAAGAAAGGGTGTGTTTTGTGCCTGGTGAAGTGATTTCACCGCCTTTGCCATTGTCTAAAATTCCATGGATCGAATCAGTAATAACTGAGATCACTGACTTCGGGGAAAAGGACGTTGAAACAATCCGCAGGCCGGAAAAGGAAGCTTCAGGAACGAGTACTTCTTCAGACAATCATAGCTTAGGACTTAGGTTAAAAGAGCAAACCACAGAACATGAAGGGGGTAATGGTTCTGAGAACCCTTACCCCCATGAGGGTGCTGGTTCGGTGGGGGTTTATGAGGAGAACAACCATGGGGAGCATCAGGGGTTTGAGCTTGTCCACTTACTTACAGCTTGCGTTGAAGCAATTGGATCAAAGAACATTGCTGCCATCAACCATTTTATAGCCAAGTTGGGGGATCTTGCTTCTCCGAGAGGAAATGCTATAAACCGTCTGGCTGCTTACTACACTGAAGCTTTGGCTCTTCGAGTCACTAGGCTCTGGCCTCATATTTTTCATATCACAATTCCTCGAGAGCTTGATCGGGTGGATGATGACAATGGTGCTGCATTGAGGCTCTTGAATCAGGTAAGCCCAATTCCGAAATTTGTTCATTTCACATCAAATGAGATATTGTTGAGAGCCTTCGAGGGGAAAGACAGGGTTCATATTATAGATTTCGACATCAAGCAAGGGCTTCAGTGGCCTAGTTTGTTCCAGAGTTTAGCTTCAAGGATTAATCCACCAAGTCATGTTAGAGTTACTGGAATTGGTGAGTCCAAGCAACAACTGAATGAAACAGGAGACAGGCTCGCAGGATTTGCTGAGGCATTGAATTTGCCTTTTGAGTTCCATCCAGTTGTGGACAGGTTAGAAGATGTGAGGTTGTGGATGCTTCATGTGAAGGAGAAAGAGAGTGTAGCTGTGAATTGTGTATTTCAACTGCACAAGACACTTTACGATGGAAATGTCGGAGCGCTCAGGGACTTTTTGGGACTTATTCGTAGCACAAACCCTACAGTGGTCATCATGGCAGAGCAAGAAGCTGAGCACAATGTCCTCAGCTTAGAGGCAAGAGTTACCAATTCATTGAGTCACTACTCTGCCATATTTGACTCAATTGATTCTAGCCTTCCCTTGGAGAGTCCGGTTAGGATCAAAATAGAGGATATGTTTGCACGGGAAATCAGGAATATAATTGCTTGTGAAGGAAGCGACAGGTTTGAAAGGCATGAGAGTTTTGAAAAGTGGAGGCAGTTGATGGAGCAAGGAGGGTTCAGATGCATGGGGATTACTGAGAGGGAACTGCTTCAGAGCCAAATGCTGTTGAAGATGTACTCTAGTGATAACTACAGTGTCAAGAAGCAAGGGCAGGATGGTGGCGCTCTTACTCTAAGTTGGTTAGATCAGCCACTTTATTCAGTCTCAGCTTGGACACCAATTGACGTTGCGGGCAGCTCATCCTCATTTTCTCAGCCAATTTGATTGTTGCTGATTACTTTTTCTTCATACATACCATCTCTTTTGATTCCATTCTTGCATACAGAAAGGGACATAATTATTTGTAGGTAGAGTAATCTGTCATTATTCTTTCATTCTTTTGTTGCAGATAAGATTGGTCAGTCTAGTGCCAGAACCATTTGTATGAACACAGTAACTGCATAACAAGTCATTCTTTCCAGGACAGATTTTAGATTTCTGTCTGTAGTATTGTTGTCAATTAATTTGGTTTTTATTCTTTGATTCTTAATGTATTTTGAAATTCTTTATAGCAGTCATTTCATCTTGTTCATTTCATTTATTGAAGATTTATCAGAATTATGAACAATGCAATCGGAAATTTATCATCATATATAAAGGATTTCGTTTATTTGTGTTTATTCTTCATTCTACACTTCTATTCCGAATTGGAATCTGGAAAATCAGACATGAAACTTGGAATTATATGCATCAGAGCAATTAAAGTTTTTGCTGTTTTGTTTCATATCATACAGACATTTTTTTAAATCACATATTGAACATAGTGAGATTTCATATTTCACAATAAAGGACAGCTAATCATCAGGACAAAATTATAGCACTCTTCATGTCCATGTTTCCTATAGCCCATCTTTTGTTTTTTCGCATTCTTGTGCATGAGAAGGAAGCTGGTGATCAAGGATATGGGGATGAACTCTCAGGAAAATCAGCCAGCCTAGCCGTCATAACATCGGAGGCAGGGGAAAGATCAAAGTTAACAGTTCAAGTATCCCAAAAAATTCCCTTGTATTTGATTATTGAATATCATTCTTTCCGTGAAAAAAAAATCTATTTGATAGCCAAATCTTTTCTCTAAAGAGAAAATTCCTTACAGAACCTGGCCTAGAAGATGAACCTTAAAAGAAACATGTGTAAGCCCAACCCCATTATAAAAGCTCAGGTTTTAGCGTGGACTGCAACAAGCCAACAATCCAATGGAATGGACCTGCCTTTTACTTCGGGACAACAGGCAAAAGTGCACTTATTCTGGCGATTGTCCTTTAGTCATCCCATCGTGTCATGACATCAACAAATTGTATGGTATTGAATTGGAGACTGAAAACGATGATTCATGACACCCGAAGAAAAGCTATACATCCTTGTTTAAACATGTTCTATGTTAAAAATATTGAAATTGTTCCAAGCACTATCTTTAGGTAGTGCAACTCAAAGGGCTACAGTAAGGATTCAAATGCTAATACTAAGTTATTAACCATCCAACAGTGATGCGGTATGCCGATAAAATATTAAACTCTTAATTTTGTGGATCTTGCTTTACCGCTAATGTCTTTATCAAATGATTCAGTCTTTGATACATTTTTCATCAGCTTTGTCAACCTATCGAATGACGTCCACTGTCTTCTCACCATACTTCTGTCTTTATGGAGAATAATAGAGAAACAAAACTTGTTTGATGTTTTTGCCTTTATCAAGCTTTAAACCCTGGAACATAGTCTTTGTTTTGTTTTCAGGATACACTTGAAAGTGCTACTAATAATATCTATATCAATTGATTAATTATGATGATATTTTTACAATTTGGTCCGCTAAAAGTTTTCATTGGAAGTGTCGTCTTTTCATGTCTTTTTCTTTCGATCCTTCACTGCCTAAGTTTGCACCACTCTGCACAATTCTCCGACAATTTGCATGTGCCCATCTTATCACTTGATTCAATTCTACTTCAGCTCATGTTGTAAAGGTGTAAATGACTCAAAATTACTTGAATTTCACTGGCCAGTAACTCCTCAACTGATCTACTACTATCAAGTTCAGGAAAATCGAGTAGTAACTTGAGTCTATTTTTAGGATAAGATTTGATCAAGTTCAAATAAATTCAGTTCATGAATTCGAGGAATTTTGTTAGATTAACTCAATTCAATTACACCTCTTCAATTGAATCAAATAAATAAATTTCAAAGCAAACCAAGCACATCTTTTTACTCAAAAACTACTGGCAACCGACTGATCATATATTTATGGGGTTCAACAGCCATTTTTATCAAGAAAAAAAAAAGATCAATTAAATTTGCTACTATAGTCTATAATATATAACATAGTTTGCCAGAATTACTGGTTTCCTTCCCCATTGGCATTGACTTACGCCGTAAACCAAAGAGATACAAAAAACAACTTGTTGGCTATGGCCTACATGACCGTGAGATTTACCACAAATGTCATCATCATAGCTGTATTCAACCTGTAAATTATTTTCATTGTCTTCTTTCTCAGCACCATCAAAGCTGTTATCCTCGACAAGGATGGGAGGTACCGGCTTCATGATAAAAGAAGATCTGACAATGTGGAACAAATCCTTTTCATGGGTTGCAGATATTTTTTTTTCTTCTTTTCATAATTTGTTAAAAAATCTGTCACCTAAGATTCGTTTTTTCTTTTTCTAGGATGTCAATCGCCAGTGAAGATGATTGAGTTTAACAGTTTCTAGAACTACTGTAATTTAGTTGGGTCATATCATTCTTTTCAAGAGATATTGGCTTAGTTGATGCTGGATAATCATCACCAGAAAACAAACAACATTGGCCTTGACATTTTTACATCACATTGTCACGACTTTTTCCTGGGATTCGTTGAATTTATGATCAGACTTAATTGTTTTTAAGCTGGCAAAAGAACCAACATCCAACCTTTCATCACTAATTGACGTTACTAAAGGAATACATGATGCAGTACTCACGTGTCCGTACAATACTAAACTCTGATCAAAATTTAAATTTTGATAATTTCACTTATAAAAATAAGTTTTCATTAATATAATTGATAATAAAAAGTATTAAATCAAATCTCAATACGTGCTTAATTAGAATAATTGTAGCCGCTCGATCGCTCCTGCTTAATGAACCTTCTAAGCCGCAGGTTTAGCAATCAGTACTACAATTATAGATAGTGCTAAACATGTAAAATTATCTTCCATTAAAAGGTTTTTCAGAACAATTTCGAAGAAACTTGAAAAAGAAAGTTAGGCCAAGAAAAGGAAAAGTCCATAGCTGTCAAATTAAGATATTTCTCAAGTGAGAGAATGGATCTATTGAATACGAGTTAACTACTGTGGTCAGATTTGGCTCTCCAACTACTCTTTGAGGCGAGGGGGCAGTCTCTTCTTGCCTTTGATCTTCAAGTTTCAAACCCACCTTGCCTTTCATTTTCCTACTACTATAATCCTATAAATTGATCAAGACAGCCTAAATGCCTTTTGTTTTACGCAATTGAAAGATTAAGCAAAGTTTCACTTACAATGGATGGCTTAAGCATGAATAGAGAACTAGCTAGATATGTCAAGCTTCTAAATATAAAACTCCCCAATCCTCAAACAACAAAAAATATGAGGTTTTCGTAACTTTTCATTCATTTATAGTGGAATTATAGTCTTAAAGTTTGTTAATTGAAAACATTACTTGAAAAGGAAAAACCACAAAGTCAAGTTCATTGTCCATATGAAAAACTTTCTGGACCAATTCTTTAAACCAAAATTTAAGGTATACCCCAGTATTTTAGTGATTTTTTTTTTTCAGATAAAATGCTTATGACTTATCCACAATTTCCACTGATTTCAGCACCACCAAAAATTTTCCATACTCTAAAAACACTGAAAGCCATGGTTAAACAAAACAACTACAAACCAAATAAACATATGATACCAAATCCAAAATCCAGCAGCCTTCCTTCGTTTACCGTCCAATCAAATCATACCTGTCACGTTCGTTTTTTTCTCTCTGTTCTTTTTTTCTCAGAAAACAAATAGACAAAACAGAAACAAAAACGCCCTTAAAAAACGAGTGCGTGTCCGTGTTTTAACGCACCACCCCATTTTTTTATTTGAAGCACCAATGTCCAATACACTACATGTAAAGGTGCTGTTGACGTCCCAACCCAGTTCCTTTGCCACCGCCCTCTTTTTCTCTCCCACCCTCTTATGATTTTATCAGTACTCTCCCTTAGAACTTTCTAGTTTGTTTTTTTTTTTTGTTCTTTTTCTCTTGATGGGTGCCAATTTCTCTGCTTTGTTCATAGACCAAGATCGTTTATCATCCTTTTCTTCATCATCACCCGGTTTGGGGGACCTGCCTGAGAGCTGTGTGGCATCAATTATTGGGTTTTTGGATCCTCCAGAGATATGCAAATTGGCAAAGTTGAACAGAGCATTTAGAGGTGCTTCTTGGGCTGATTTTGTTTGGGAATCGAAATTGCCACCCAATTATGAAATTCTTGTTGATAAAATTCTTGGCTATGTGCCAGAAAAATTGGGTAAAAGAGACATTTATACAAGGCTCTGCACAGCTAATACTTTTGATGGTGGCACCAAGGTATGGTTTTTAGCTTTTTCTTTGGATTCTGAGAAAGACTTGGATTTGAAATTCTGGGTCTTCAACCTTTCTGTGTTTTTATTTTTGGAGAGCTGGCTCTTTCATAAAGACTCGAAATTTCACTGTTTTACTTTTCCCCCGTGTTTTTGGCTTTCACTCAGCCATCAATCAGATAAATTTCTTCAGGGATTTGCTTTACAGCTTTAAGTTTTTTTTTTTTTTGTTCTTTTGTTATTTCTGAATACAGTTTCTACTAGATGACCAAGTTGTGTTTAAAATTTTCCATAATTTGATGTTCCTTGTTAATTTTTTCTTTGATTTATAATATGCTCGTATAAATTTAATAAATTTAAGGGGATAAAAAAAAAAGAATTAACCATTTGGATGTAGCAAAACTTGGTAAATAAACTAGTTGTGTTATTAATTTAATTGAAAATTTTTCTTCCTTTTAGAATGAAACAATCATAAATTCATAACTGACAAGATTTAATTACTGGGCCTGGATTCTTTCATGTTATCAAAGAGGGGATATTAGTTAAAGTTTTATTGTTTTATTGTATTGGTTGCTAGGTTAATATTCATGGCTTGCCTGTCTGATTGATGGCTTGAGAATTTGGCTTCCTTTTGCAGAAAGTATGGCTAGATAAGAGCACAGGTGGTGTTTGTTTGTCAATCTCTTCAAAGGGGTTACGAATAACGGGGATTGATGATCGAAGATATTGGAATCATATTCCTACTGAGGAATCTAGGTGAGATAAGAAGAAGTTATTTTGTTTTTTGTGTACATGTTCAATTTAGAGGAGAATAAGAGGATTTTTAGTTTCTTATCATGAATTTTTTTTATTGGCTGATCAAAACCAAGACTGCTTGCGCATATCTTTCTGAATTTACCCAAAGTATGTTATTTTTTGTTATTTTTGTTGTTAAATTTGGATGTATTATGTGGATCTCCATTTGTAATGCATGATAATGATGCTTTGATATGGAAGAGGCATTGGAAATTGTCTAAATGGGATTTGGTCTCCCTGGGTCCCTGCAAGTTTTCCTCTTTAAAAAGCTTGCTTCCTTATGGAAAACAAAGACAATTCCCGGATGCTCACCACTTTTGACTTCTTCCCTGGTTTCTCATTTCCTTGGTCTGAGTCGGCTGTGGTTAAAGGTTAAAGGCTTAAGGCAACTGTGTTTGACATTCAATCTTTATTTTAAGTTGTGGGGACAAACACTTCAAGCATTATTTATATAAACTTAAGGATTTCTTACACGACTTGTTTTTTTAAACCTGTGTGCATCACATAATTGGATGGAATCATGGAAACGTAAAAAAACTTAAATGATTGATGCAATTGATGTTGTGTGAAATGCTGGTAGATTGATCAAATAGATCTTTACACCATGTGTTGAAATGGAATGCTGGATATTGGTTTCAATTTCCTTTTCTTTGTAATTTAGGTTCTGTTCCATTGCATATCTTCAGCAAATCTGGTGGTTTGAAGTTGATGGGGAGGTGGAGTTTCCCTTTCCAGCGGGGACCTATAGCGTTTTCTTCAGACTGCACCTAGGTCGTGGCTCTAGGAGGTTTGGGCGCCGGATCTGCAACCCTGAGCATGTCCATGGTTGGGATATAAAACCCGTACGGTTTCAGCTATGGACTTCGGATGGTCAGTATGCCACATCTCAGTGTACCTTGAGTGATCCCGGGGAATGGTTTCACTACCATGTGGGGGACTTCAATGTTGACAACTCTAGTTCACCAACAAAGATTAGGTTATCTATGACCCAAATTGATTGCACACATACAAAGGGTGGTCTCTGTTTAGACTCTGTGGCCATATACCCAAGTAAATTTAGAGAAAGGTTAAGGCACAAAGGATTTTTGAAGTGCGCTAAACCCATGTAACTAGAAGTTTCTGTTTTGTAGAGTTGTGCATACATATTCAAGGAGAGTGTAATCAGGTTGTAATTGGTTTTTTTGAGGGTTAGAGACTTGAAAAAGAGTCAATTTTGCGTATAAATCGTGTTTCCATTTGTGGTGCACGGACTGAGAGGGAGTGTAACCAGATGAAAATTTTCATAATGAAAAGAAAATAGCGAAAATGTCGAAAATTTTCCTAATATATTTTTGAAGTTCTTTGCAAAAGAATTACTCTCTGTCTTAAATTCTTTCTTTTTTCAATACAAAAGCAATAATTTTTTTATAGCATGCTCTTTGGCAAGACCTGCTAAAGAAAACAAAAACTTGCCCCACACTGTTACTAAAAAGGAAAATAGATGACGAGATACCAATTAGATAATAAATCAATCATATCCACAGCTTACAACAAAATCTCAAATAGTGAGGACAAAAAATATAGCTTATTTTAACTCAGTGAAATGACAAGTTAAACCAAAAGATGGTAGCACAATGCCCAAAAGGAGCATACCACTCAAAGCCCCAATCTCATCTCAACCAACACCAATAGAGGGAGGCATGTCTTAACCATCCATAATGGAGGACCATATATATCTCAAGCCACCGAAAACTTGTGGAATCATTAACTTTGTGGCTCGCTGTTGTTGGGCCGGCGATAGGGCATGAATCTGTGATCCTTGGCAGCGTTCTTCCTTCTCCTTTTCTCAATGAAGGATTCAAGTTTGCCAGATGACTGATAATAACATCAATTAAGTTAATTAGTTGAGAGTTACTTTAATGTCATAGAGAAAATTTTTAAATTACATGTCAAATGTGTACCTTGAGCTTTTTATACTTCTCAATAAGCCTCTGTTTCCGAATTTCAGCTGCAAAGAAGTGATCCAAGTTAGCATCCTTTAAAATGGATTCATAGGAATTATCATTTAGGCATAATCAACATGATTCAACATTATGTCAATGTTCACATAATCAACATAACAGTTTATAGTGTTCTCTATAGTCAATGGATGCTAACATACGAAAGTCTTTCTATTAGTAAGAAAATATACTTTTCAAGTTACTTGTTAAGTTCCTTGTCAAATTCCAAAAGCACAAAACAACAAGAAAGTTATAGCAAGAGAGAGGGAGGGATTCATGACAGTACATTTCTTAAGATAGAAAGGGCGTTTCCCCTGCTTTGCCGCTTCTCTTTCTTTCTTCTTGTGCTCAGCCAGAATCTCTGCATCGGTATTCTTTGCTGACTCAAACTTTAGTTGCTTGTCCTGATATGTGATTTGATTTCAAAAAGTAGATAGGAAAGTGCTTCAATATATCCAGATGCCATACAGAAGACAATGATTTTAAAACAAGATGTATAGTAGTTTCTTTTGAATATATACACACTTACAATCCAAGAAATATGGTTCCTCAGTTCACTAATGACTTTTGGGTCTTTGGCTTTTTTAAGTTGTTTCTGCAGCTCCTGTCATAACCAGGAAATACATTGTTGAAAAAGACACTATAAAAAAAGAGTCAAGATTCAATGGTTAGAGAATAGTAGCACCTCTCTTTCGGTTGGTAGGTTCTTCTCAAATAGAAAATTATATCTTTTTCTAAACCTGCAAAATAAAAAAATAACTGTCAGCTACAGGTTAAGGAAAAATCGTATAGGGATTATTAAAGCCAAGATGTAAAACAGACATAATTCTGGTAAGTAAGAAGTCACAACCATCAACTTTGACAAATCGTCGACCATTGAATGCTATCTCAATCAAGAGGTTGAGAAATAACATGCAGATCCATTACTTATTGAAGTTTAAAAATAACATCCGGTCTCAAATGAGATAGAGTCTCTCAAAGCAAACTAGGCTACTCCACAATAAAATTATGGAATATGGATAACTTATTCAAACAAATTTATCAAAGTAGGCTCCATAGACTGGTAAAAGATAATCAGATCCCACTTGCTGGCTTTCTTAAGATTTTCTTCTATTTCCACCATTATTCTGGATAAGACATTCAATCATTAAATTTCAATAGCATTTAACTTTTCTTTTTTCCCTTCTTGATAGATGAACTAGAATGATTTTTTTGGTCACTAACAAATGAAGCTCAATCAACCCATCAAAATGTTTTCCTTAAAGACAACAGTTAGAACTAATATTCTACCAAGTACCAGATTCCTAGTGACTAACCCATGAAAAACTTGCCATCCTACTTGTTTGTTAAAGATATGCATGGGCAGGTAGACTTAAACTAACTTTGTGCAGGAATATAAAAGTTGCGATGAAACCAATGTAGAGAACTGCACATGCCAAGCAACAAATGACAAAAATGCAACTAATTGAATGATACAGAGAGAAGACACTCACCCCTCGACGTCAAGTGTGCCACATAAAGATTCAAAACGAGGGTCTCGTGCCACCTGCACATAAAGCAGCAAACAAATTGAATTCACCTTTTATTGTTCTTTATTATTTTTTATTACAGTAGTAATTGAAAACAAGAAACAGCAGGTGATGCTCTTTTTTTAAAAAAAGGATCCCAATTATTGGGATTTTCCATCAGATTTGCAACAATAACTGGGATCTTGCATACATAAATTGGCAAAAGAACATTTAGTGAGGAGAAAGCAACTAGAATGATTAAGCTACTACTTATTTGACATTTACAAAAGACAACAAATGTGCATAATATTTTCTCCAAAGATGAAAAAAAGAATAAAAAATGATTATTTATTGGGATAATATATCATACACACTAATTAAAATATATAAATTCAAAGTGGGATCATGTTTGCCACTTACAAGCTAACCATATTAACATCAAGTATAAAGATAAAAACTCGAAACTGAAAAAATCCATGACCTTAACGGAGACTACCAAATTCAATAGCTTACTATTAACATACATAAAATCTAAAAGAAAATTACAAGCTCAGACAACCACCACACAATTGAAGTCTTTTACAGCTCACCAACAGGCACATGATTCCATTAAAGCAAAAGTCAGATACCAAATGAACATTAATAGGCACATGATTCCATTAAAGCAAAAGTCAGATACCAAATGAACATTAATTTGAGCAAGCAAAACTACAATTATACAACTTACTGTTCAGCAACCAATATGTTATTCTTATTCCACTAAAAACAAAGCCAAATTTCAAAGAAACATAATTTACCTTTTTAGGAGCTTGAATAACCTGTCTAAATGACCTCACTGGTTTCTTGCTACTAAGCTCCATTGGCCTATAAAAAACACAAATCAAAACAAAAAAAAAAATTGTACTAAAAAGCCAAAAAAAAAAAAACTTCTTTCTCAGATTGTAAATAAGATACCTATTCTTGTTAGCACGGCGATGCTTGTTCTCTGAATGGGGTTTGCGAGAAACTGAATCAGTACCATCGGCGCGTGCTTTTTGTAGCTCTTCAAATGTAACTTCAGCTAACTCACGCTCTATCTCTTCCTCCTACAACCCTCCCAGAAAACAAAAAACACAATCAATATTCAATTGAAAATTGCGGGAAAAATTAGGGTATAATAAAATATACCCACTTCATCAGAATCAATGGTATCATCAGATTTCTCTTCTTCGGATGAAGATTCGATCTCTCCTCCCTCTCCTTCTTCTTCTTCACTTTCCTCGAAGTGGGTTTTGCTTGAAGTTGCAATTGAGCTAATGGGTTTCTTCATTTTCCTGAAACTGAGTGTGAAAAAAGTTCGACCGAATTAGAAGCAAAAGCAATACACGGAGCTATAAAGGGGCGAAACAAAGGCGCAGAAATAAAGAGCAAACTTGACAGAGAGGAAGGTAGTAATCGTCCGTCCCGACCTGACCTAACAAAGGCCCACGGGTAGAGCGCTTCATGGGCGGCCCTGGTTTCTCTATTAATATGATTTTTTGGGGCCCAGAATATGAAATTTATTCGATGGGCTTTAGTCTTAAACCCAGCATTAGAACAATATAAATCCCATCCTTCATTTTCTAATAGGGCTCAGCTAGGCCCAGCCTGGCTGTTTGCGTCCCATCTTCGTATGCATGTTGGTTTTTACTTACTTAGGAATGTCAAATCTATCTATATTGTCAGTTTTCGACTCTATAAAGTTAATTTTTTTAAAATTGAATTTCGGGTCAAATTTTTTTTTTTTTAAGTGGAGGTAGAGTTGGAGTCAATTTTAAATAAATTTGATCCATTTCAACTTGATTTGGTATATATATAATTTATTTTTATTATTTATTTAATTTTATATTTATATATATGTATTACATTAATAAATTTATTATTTAATACTTTAACTTAAGTTATTAATTTAACAAAAATATTATATTTATGTATAATTAATATATAATTTATATTAAAAATTTATATTTTATTAATATTATATTAAATTAAAATTATTAAATTAATTAAGATCAATTATGATTTCATATATATACATGTCAAAATCTAAGCAAAAATAATATTTTAGTGCCAAAATCAAAAATGCATTTTATGAAATTGAATCAAAATTTAAACCAATAAAAATTCATATCGACTCAACTCATTATTATCTCTAATTTTAACTTTGATGATGACTCATTAAATTTAATTAAGTAATTAATATTGACTCATTAATTTCAAACTTAAAAGATCTTTGTAACGAGAATATATATATATAGTTTAATCAATGATTATTTATTTATTTTTATTAAAAATCAACATAAGAACTCCATTTTCCTTCTTCAATATTACTCAAATGTATATATCAAATAAAAAATATGATACAATGATAAAACATGTACTTTGTATAAAAAAGGATGAAAACAACAATCATAGTTTGGGTTTATGTTCAAACAAGACACGACGTTTGGATTTATAAAAGTATAATAATATAATTGCTATTTAAGTGGTTAATTCTTATGGTATATATGTGGGTTAGCATATTTGTTAATCTTTTATTTATAGCCTAATAAATGCCTAGGCTTTTAAATATTGAAGAGATCTTACGAAATGCATTTTACTTATATAAATATTGGAAATTAAATCCTCCACCTTTTGATTTAATGACCAAAAAAGCATTAGATTCGACTCTTCGAAACAGGTGAGCACCCGCACGTGCAAAGTCGAATTTATTCTTGTTTATGGTCAAACCAATTTTATATGTTTACTAGTCTAGACTTTATGTTAATTTCGGCCATAAATTTGTGCTACTCTTTTATGGTATAAAACAAAAAAAAAAAAAAAGGTAAATTCGATATACTTACCTACTTAGAATTAATAAAAATAAACTGAATAATAAAAAGACATTAATTAATTAGCATAACTCGTGTGTCACGGGTCGAGACTCAAGCTCCGAATCCGTGCGATTCCGGCACCCAGACATTCACCTTTTCGACGTCTCGAATAAGCTTAAACTGCTATGGTTCACACTTTTACCTACCTCTTTCGAGGTGCTTGATATAGATCGAACAGTTTAGAGCTAACTCTGATATCACTTGTCACGGGTCGAGACTCAAGCTCCGAATCCGTACGACTCCTTGATTCGGATATTCATCATTCTGGTGTCTCGGATCAGCCTAACTGCCACAGTTCACACCCTTGTGAGGTATTGTCCGTTCTGACCCCCTAATCTCACGATTTTGTCCTACAAAAAGCATCTTAAAAGGTGAAAGTAGTGTGAACCATTTTATATCCAAGTGACTTTCCTATTACGTTCGATGTGAAATTCAGAACGCTTTTTTAAATCCGAGACACGTGATTGATTATATATTATATATTTTTATTAAAAATTTAATACTCAATCAAACAATTTTCCGTTGGCTTATATATTATCTTTGCTGATTAATTAGTTTGACGATGGAGACGTTCGTATTATACTTTGAAAATATGTGCATGAGGCTGTCAAAGCATGGACCATGATTCATGTCTGACATCAAAAGAGCTACTTCATGCTGTTCATTAAACAACTAAAATTTTACATTGGTTTTTTTAGAATTAATGTTATGAATGATTCTTAAATTATAATAAATTATTTAATATGATTTTTAAATTTTAAAAATATTTAATATAATATTTAAATAATAAATTTATTAATTAATTTAGTATTTGAATGGTTGTTTTTCTACTATATATCATCATTTATAATTGATTATGTTAAAAATGAGTATTACATTAGTTAATAAATTTAAAGTTCAGATATTATATTAAAAAATTTTTAAATTTAAGTATTATATTGAATATTTCATTATAATTTAATTACAATTTATGATATTAACTTATATATATATATATATATATATATATAAACAAAAGAAATTGCAACCTAAAAATATAACAAAGAGTTTCAAGTGATAGGTTTCGGATTTAAAACATATTAAATATCATAATTATACAAATCAATTAAATTCAAATTTGAATTCAAATCTTACATTGTTCTTATCTTTAACGAAATTTTACATTTTGTAAAAAGAAAAAAAAAGGTAGTGGGATTTGAAGCATTATCACAACTTAGATTATTATTCCATAAAAGACAAACATATCAAGATAACTCAGGGATTAGTGGAAGGATTATGCTCAATTGACCACCGACCGGCACTTTAATCTTGTTAAAACAAGGTGTCTTACAAACATTGAAGAAATGCTTTTCATCGTTTTTATCTGTTCCAACTTTCTTTTTTAACATTATCTTTTTAAGGTGTCAATTTCGTTGACATTAATCAACATGATCAGAATCATACTCTCATTACCTAATTCTTTAAACAAGTTTAACCAAGCTATCATTTGATGCTTTTAAAATGAGGTGAAGACATTTAACTATCCCTGATTTGTTGTTTAACATTTTCTTTTGTGAACTATCCCATTTTGTTTAGGGCTTAATGCAAGACAGAAACAAGGTTTGGTGAGCCGGCGGCACCGTCTTGTCTTTTCATTAGATAATGGAAGAGTCTTCGGCAGCTGATGGGGCAACCATTGTCCTGTAGCTGCTGATTGGCAGGTTTCTAAATTTATTTTCTAAATTTTTTTAAATACTTCATTTCAGTCATTAAAAAGTTTCTATAATAGAAGAAAAAATGAAAAGTTTTTTTTTTCTTTTTTCTTATTATCTACATCTCTTGCATCTAGCGAGATTTTGATTCAAAAGTGCTTTACTTTTTATTTTTTTAATGATAAATAAATTGATATAAATGATTTTGAGTAATTGCCTCAACTTGAAATATTATTAAAGGTATTTTGAATTATAAACTTAATTCAATTAATTTATATAATTATTTTTAAAATATAATATTTAAATATATATATAATTTAAATCTCAACACGTATAATTTTTTTTATTTTTAGATCATAATCTTTTTTATAACAAATATTTATTTTAAAAAATAATTTATATTAACGTAAAATTTTTTAATTTTATATTTTTTTAATCATTAATTATATATATATATATGTAGTCTTTAGAAGGATATAAATCATTTTAAAAGAAAGTTGCCGAAAACATAATAAAATAAAATGGCAAGAAACATTCAACTTCATATATATATATATATATATATGTATATATATTCTTAACTTTTGCGCCATTGTTTACCAGAAAAGGTCAACAGATTAGACTGGGTGTTTTACAAATGTCAAAAGGCAACTGATTAATTAACAAAAATTATATTATCGTTGTCATTTTGGAAGAGGAATCATGACCAAAAACGAATTTATCACTGACCAAAAGATTGAATTGATTTGCAATAATTTAATGGAAAAAGGCTAGCCAATTAAGTGAGATTGAGGTGTTTGTGAATTGGCTACCTTGGAAGACTGCATATTATAAAAATAAGCTTATACATAAAGCTTCGATATGCATTTTTAAGACATAGTGGACGAAACAAAATCGATGAATGGTTTAGCATTTAGCTTAAAAATAATATAAGAAAATATCACCCAACTGCTATAGGAAATTAGAGATTTATGCAAGTCTTTCTCGTAATCAAGTATTAATTCCTTATCATTTAAACAGAAAATTATTGGCATTTTGACAAATAATCAATGATATACATTTATTTATTTCTATTATATATAAATACACACACATATATATATTTCAGTTAATTATGGACTATTCTCATCAAATGTAAGAAAAAAAAATTAATTACAAAAATCTTTCAAAACTGAATTTTATTTGTACCATGAAAATTTTTTTGGTAGATTGTAAGACGCTGAATCTCATGGAAAGAAAAAAAAGGAAAAAATTAAAAAAAGGAAGGTCAAAGAGTTTCATTGGAAGAGGTTGAATTATATTTTTGAGATATTATTAAGTTTTAAGGACATTTTGATCATTTTCTCTCATTAAAGATTGTCAACATATAATTAAAAATATTTTAAATTTTTAAATTGATCTTACATGTGAAATTGATATGAGATTATAATATTACGATAATTCGATTATCTCATCAATTTGATCATTGGATCCCCTTCAATGTTGATTTATCGTCTTTTGAGTGGACAATTAACGTCCAAGTTAGCTTGGTCTTCTAACTCATCTTTGACCACAAGATTGATCTCAAATAGCTTGAGTTACATGAAATTTTTTATCTTTTAATTATAAATAGTGATACCTAAATATTTTTTTATTTATCTAATACTTTTATGCTCTTTTATTTATTTATTTTTTTTTTTTATCGATTTCGAACTTAAACATTGAATATAAATATTGAAATCGCTCTCAAACTTTTTTTTCTTTCTTATTAATTTTAAAGTTATACCCCAACAGATCAGCTCGACATAAACATGTATGTTCAAATTGAGCTAAAAGTTAAAAAGGGATGACCCAAACCTAGACGCATTATGTAATGTTTAGTTTTGAGGAAGAGCCTGCTATAGAAGCCAAATGCAGGTATATGCAACTGTTGCAATATCCCAAATGCAGGTATATGCAACAGTTGCAATATCCCATAATTCGAGTTGGTTACTTGGATTTAAAAAAAAAAAAAAGGATAGAGACAAAGAAGATAATATCCAGTCACGATCTCGACCGGTGAAAAGCGGGCGAAAGAATGTGTGTCTTGGTTTGGCAAGACAAAGGAGTAATCCTTTCAGACATTGGTATTTCTGAAAGTAAAGTAAAGCCAATATTATTTTTGGTCTAAACAAGATGAAAACAACGTACCTACTAAGTTCACACCCAAAAAAGGTTCTTGAACTTCTTTGATGGATTTGATTAGCTGTTTTTATGGACTTGGTGAATTTGGTTGAATCCTGTCCACAAGAAAGAATGCTTTAGAAGCACCAAATTTTGTAACGCAATTAGCGATAGCTACAGTCAAAGTGCTAGCTAGAAGACAAGTTGAACTGGACTTTTCTTTTACAAATCACAATTAAAAGTTTCTCAAGCTTATCCAAAACTTTTGAGTTAAATCTAAAATAAAATTAAAATCCCACACCTGTATCTGAAATTTTAAAAATTTTTATTTTTTTTATAAGTTGGTGATTTATTTTTATTTTAAAAATGAGGTAACTTCTCTTACTTTTAAATTTTCTGATAAAAAAATGTTTTTTTAAACTCAACTTTTTATTATCTAAAGTTACTGTAATCGATTTATGAGATGGAGTGACTTTGTTCAAATAATCCACGTTTAAGGCAGAAAGAGTGATTCACGGAGTCGGCAGTGAAAATGGTGACCGGTTGGGCACGGGCACTGGCACGTTGGATTCCAAGCAGCCGACATGAGTGTTTAAAACGAAATCCCCACGTGCCATTTTCCACCATGGACTCCTACGCTCCAATTACGATGTTGATCCTCTGATACCCGTTTGAGGAAATTGTTACGCACAGCTCAAGGCGCTTCCATACAAAATGACAGAACAAACATTGCCCGCTTAAAAACTTGTACCTTTTTGCCAACAAAATCTACGCTCTGTTTTTCTTTTCTATTCTGAAACAAGAGAACAATGCAGAAAACAAAGTCTGTGCCAACTTATTTATCCTTAAATTTCAATTCCGTCCCCGCTTAATACTTTACATGAATTGGACGTTATTAAAGGTACAGTGCTAATGTTTTGATCAAATTTACATGAAAAAAATTGGTTAGAAAAATCAACCCCTTCTGTTCCAAATCAAACAGGTAAGTTGTTTTGCTTTATGTCATGTAATATTCCTGTAGATTCTTGGGAATCAGAATCAACTTTTAATGTTCCATCCTGATTGGTATGGCCAGCATCATCCATAGGAATGGCTCTGGTAAGTTCCTGCGCCCTCCAGGCTTGAAATTCCCAATCTGTACTTGTCACAATGAACAACATGGTCACCACACATGAGGCTTGGGCGGCTAGAAGACCAAGCCAAAGACCTTTGAAATCAAACCCGGCAAAGAAACTCAACCATACTGCAATTGGCATGCCTACCAGGTAGAAGCAACCCAGGTTGATGTTTGCTCCCAATTTTGGTCTTGCGGTTCCCCTTAAAACTCCACAGCCTGTTGTTTGTGGGCAGTTTCCTAGCTCACAAAGTCCAAGTATAGGCAAAACCATTGATGTTAAGGCAATGATTTCTGGGTCATCGGTGAACATGGTAGCCCAATTTTTTCTTACCAGTATAGCGAAAACCAATGCTGAAAGTCCTAGTATGGAGCTCGACGAGAGGCCAACGATTGCAGCCAGTCTTGCTTTCTTTGGATTGTTAGCTCCAAGTTCATTTCCAACTCTTGTTGACACACCAAAACTTAAGGAAGATGGGAAAATGTATATCAAAGATGTGGTTTGAATCAAAATGCCCATTGAAGCAACGGTTGCCTGTGGATTTAACAACAATCCACATAGCAAAATCATGATTTCATACCACCACCATTCCAGGCAAACTGAAATGCAGCTTGGAATGGATAAATTCAATAAATATTTCCAACCTTTCAAGCATTCTGAGGAAATTCCACCCCAAGTTTTCTTGCACGCCCCGGAGATTTTAACGTAAACGATCAATGAACCTACGAGATTGAAATTCGTCCAAATGGAGCCTAAAGCAACGCCTTTGATTCCAAGGTTGAGCACAGAAACAAGAAGGTAGTTAATGGGAATGTGGAGAAGAACAGCCAGAGTAGAACAGTATGTCAGAGGCAGAGTTATAGACTGAGTCCTCAAATATGTACGCAAAGGATGTAAAACGGATTGTGCTAGAAGGTCGGGTAGAGAATAAAGAATGTAGGATTGAGCTTCATTGGCAATATTTTCATCTTGACCGCAAAAGAGAAGGATATTTTTCATGTTGAACCATAAAGACGCTATAACGATTGAAGTCAATAGAAGCAGAAGTATCATTCTTTGCATGGTGAGGCCAAGAAGTTTGTATCTTTTGGCACCAAAAGCTTGGCCACAGATGGGTTCCATTCCCATGGCTAGGCCAGAGAGAACTGAGTATCCAGTGATGTTAGCAAATCCAATAGCAAGCGAGCCACCGGCCAAAGCGAGCTCACCTAGACGGCCAAGAAACAACATCGAAATCATGGAGCGAGAATAGAGCAAAAGCCCTGTTAGTACCATCGGAAAAGCTATGTTGGCTATGCATTTTGCTTCTCCAATTACAAGAGACAGACAAGTCTTTTCTGAATTCTGGTCTTGTTTGTGTTCTGTTGGGTTCTTGGGGTTCAAAGGAGTTAACATGTCTGTTTCCTGTACTTTGATTGAAGTAAGATTTTCGTGGTCCACACTCTGTTTGCAAGAGGAGGGAAAGCAGCACATGATTCTGGACTTCTGTGAAGAGAAAGAAAAAAAGAGACACGTAGGGTAAAACCCAGAGGGGAATTTGGGTATAGTATGAATGAGAGATAGCTAATGGGGTGGCTGCTAAGATTTTAAGACTTCGTGGTTTTTAAAAGGGGGGTTTTAATCTCTCTACACAAAGGGTGCTAGTCCACCCAATCCACGAGGCCTTTTATAAACTAAGAAAAGAAGGAAAAAAGTTGACACATTGACCTCAATTTCCAACTGAAATTCCTTTTAGAAACATTCCAACCAAATTTCCAAGCTCCCTCCATTTATGACCGACCAAGAGATTCACTGTTGACCTTGGGCCTGCAAATGACAAATCAATCGCTCAGGTCTCGACACCTCTACCTCAAAACTTGCTGTTTGCTGCACAAAATGCTTCACAAGTGTCAAGAATTTATGATATCTGTTTAAACTTTTAGCCTTTAATTCCTTTCTTTAATTGGGGTACAAAACATTTAACCTTCAACCTTTTATTTTAGCCTTTAATTTCTTTAATTAAGGGGACAAAGCGTTTAACCCTCAACTTTTAATTGATTATTGGTTATGTTTTCTCTTTTTAAGGGTTCCCAAAGAACGTTTTTGGTTGAGAATTGACAAAATAAATATTTGGACGGTTATCTGTGGACCCAATTGCACACATGAGTTTTGACTTACTTGTTCAACCTCTTCTGTTTTGTTGCTTAGGCAACAACTAAACTATCTTAGCTTTTCCGGCCAAAAAAAATCTATCTTATCTTTATTGTACTAATGGATTGGCTGCTTTAAAAATTTTTAAATCTTTTGTGCAAAATGTTTTCTAAAATGTTATCAATATGAGGCTAGGGTATAAAATGTATCCCTAAGATTTTGTCTTGGAGCACGGTCGGCTACATGTCGACGATGCAGTCTCGCAATGGCACCCAACTTTTCAACCAAAAGTTCTATGAATGGTCTAGCAAACAGCTGCTTGGGACGGTGGCATGCGCGCGCGATATACATGTCGATGTTAGCCTTTGTACACGTCTCTTTTTTGTCTTGATCGTCATCATCTTCTTCGTCCTTGGAAGCCATCATCTGCCCCCTCGGACACGCCCACGGAAACAACAAATTTTGAAAGTTAGGATTAGCAAAAGAGTAACATGAAAGTTCAGCCAACCGCTATGTGACAAAGGGAACTCATGGCTCGAGATATTGTCACAAGTTTATGTCCAAAATTTCTTGAAATCGAGGCCTAGAAAAAGTCAATCAATTATTTTTCTATGCTTTTATTCTTTTGTATTGGCTTCACCCTTTTTTTCTTCAGATCACATGAGGGTTTTTTGCATGATGATTTATTTTGTTTAATTCTAATTTCTATCTTAATAAGCAATTTGAGTGCTTATAAAACTATAGTGTAAGAAAACCATCCACCATAAAACAGGCATCTTACCGACGTAATTATGGAGTCACTATAGTTAATCAATTTGATTTTTAAAAGTTAGGTTGGATTATATATGCATGGCAGGATCCATGGTTTAGCAAGATTAAAAAATGGTTGGCAGTTTTTTTAAAAGACTATAATTTCAACGATTTGAAAAATAAAATGAAAAACATGTTATTTGATCAATAACCTAGTGACTTGTTGATACATTTAATATAACTTAAATACGAAAAAGTATTACTTGACTCAAAGATTTGTGATATTCAATATAGCTCAATTTCATTCAAAATTGGAGGACAGGTACATTTGATTCCCACTATAGCACCAGCCACCAGGGAAGGAATATAGGAAAAAGTTTAATTTTTTTTTAATAAAAAAAATTTATGATAAATAGATTGTTCAATCTCTTAGATCAAAGTAAGATATACTGTACCTGACATCTTAAAATAAATAATTATAAATCATGCATTTGAGATAACTCCAATAAATAATTATCGATAGAACTCAAACGATCCAAAAACAATCCTAACTAATTGAACCTATCACGTTTTGATAAAATTCAATTTTTTGTAGTTTTCAAATGTGTCAATATCATGTACAAGAATGGTGGTAGTGTTTTAGTTGATAGGACGATATCATCGTTAGAATGTTCAAAGATTAGACATTTCTTCTATCTTCAAACTATGACTAATGTAGAAACTTTAACTTCTACATGCATCTGGCATCGAAAATCTTTGTCACCAGCAGTCAGTAATACGAAGAAAATTTTGCTTCGAAGACAGAGGAATTAAGTCATTAACGGAGTCTTTTCCCCAATTAAGATTAATTAAACTTTTTTTCCTAAATTAAAGTACTTTAAAATAAAGATTATAACGATTCAGTTCAGATCATTCAATTTTTTTTGAATATTATATAATATTATAAAAATTTAAAATTTAATTCGAATTGAATTGAATTTTAATTTTATTTGAATCAAATCAAATCGAATTATATCAGTTTGGTTCAATTTGGTTTATCGATTTTTAATTTTTATTTATTATTTTAATATAAAATTTTAATATATTTAAGTAAATTTTAATATAAAATTATTATTTTTACTTTATAAATTTTAAAATATATATAAAAACTAAAATATATATATATTTTGGTTATTCAATTTTTTTAAATTTTTATTTTTTTATTCAAAATTTGATTCGAATTTTATATATACTTTTAATATTTAAATTTAATCTGAATCAAATAAAAAAATTGATATAAATCAAATCAAATATTATGATTTTAAATCGATTTTAAAAATTTTTTTTTCTTACTCCACTTTTAAACTTATTTTCTTAAATACTTCAATATATGTAAGCACTATATTATGTCTACGTGGCCTACTTAATATAATATGTTTGTTTTATTTTATTTAGGATTTATATTTGATGTATTAGACAATGTTGCCGGCGATAGACACTGTAACTGGTACCAACATGAGTGTCTCGTTTGTTGTCGCTGACAAACATTCTCTCTAATAAACACAAATATCTTCAGGAAATCCTCAACAGTAAAAACTCAGTCTTTCAAATTGAACTCCAAGAAAACCTTTATTTCTGCTCCCTCCCCTTACCTAAAAAAGAAATACTATTTCCGTCGTCAAGTTCTTTCCTCTTCCACTCATTATATCAACACACCATGCCACAATACTACACTTGACCTATAACCTTTGTTGGAGAAGAATCTGAAAGAAATAAAAAGTGGGTATTGACTGTCCAAACATGCATTATTAATTTCTTTTACGCAAAAGATGATTTTGATTGCTAAAATCTTAAGATTTTGATTTTTATAATGGTTTTTGGATTTTATGGTTAATGATAAGTTTTGTGTTTGTCTTGTTTTATTTTCAAGTACATGATGAATGAGTTAATTCTCTTGTGAGCTATGTCGATTGTATAAGATTATTCGAATCACAATTTTATTTATTTATTTATTTTTGTCATATAGATAATAATACGGTGCTTTTATGGTTTGAAGTATCTAACTATTCTAATCTGAAAAAAAAAAATTAATTAAGTAAGAACTCGTCATTAACATGTAACGACCGGCAGTATTTCAGTCTCCTTGGTTTATTTTAGGCAAAAGTTAGGTAATTAAATCAAATCGATTCGGCTTGATTTTTCTAGGACGGATTGGATCAAGACATCAATGGGTCATTAACGGTTAGACTTAGATTTTTCTTTTTTCCATTTCTGTAAGAGTGGGCTTTCTTCATTTACAAAGAGAACCCGTAACCAACCCAAACTATTTCAAAACTGAGCCCCAATTTGTCCATAATTGGGTTGGATCAGATTGATTTTTCTTCAAAAGATGAACAACTTGTATCATATATTTAAATAATTAGAAATTTTACCATGAAGATTAACACAAACTCCTGTGGGCTATGTCTTATGTCATTTAAAAAAAAAAAAACAAAACCAAAAAATTTCAAGTTCGTGAATGTTTAAGTCGACTATCCTTATTTCAATTGATATGTTATTAAAGTTGATACTTAAAAATTATAAATTTGAAACTTGTAATATTCTTTTCACTAGTTATGTAAGTGAGTAGAGGAGTTTAAAAATAAATTAGGCGTGAGAGCTTAAAAGGTGGAGCCCAATTCCCACATTTTACAGGACAGGTCCGAACATGAAATTCAGTCCATCTGCAACCTTTGGACTTTAAAAGGCTGGGGACAAAGATGGATGGACTGCATTTGCCAATTTACGAGCTTTTTGGTCTCACAAGTTCAATATCTTCACTTTTAAGCTTGGGCTGGCCTCAAATTACATTTACCAAAGCCCAGACTTTAACCACGATTGTGATTTCTACATTGACAATTGAAATCGCTATTCGTGTTAAATAATGGTGTCAAATCCCTGACATGAAAACTGCTAACTTTGATTCACCACCAAAGGTTTCAGGTTGGGTTCCAGTCATGTTACTACGTTATACTTGAAATTGCCACCTCTCTGCAGGCCCACGATGAGCCCTTCTAATCAAATCCAGACATGTACAATTTATAAACCTCGTTTTAATGTTTTCAATTAGCTGTTAACCACAATCTCGATCCTACAATTATCACTGTGGCTCATTGTCATTTACGCTTCATTACCGACGTAATTACCAACTACGTCAAGAGATTGTTGTCACCGTTTATCCTTCCTCCTTACAGCATTTTATAGTTGGTTGTGTCGGACAGATCAGATATTTTGTTAATGACCTTTTCGATCTTTCGTAATTTGGGCTTACTTGGACTGTTTAACATAATAACGACAAGGAATAACATCAATGCAGTTGCAAATGCGTGGTTTCCATTGTTTGATTCTTTCCATCAATTCATCTTTACAGATTATGGTTTATGGATAAACAATGGCTGACATGACATGACTTCTTTTTTCCTTTAATTTTTTAAAGCATGTTAATGCTTATAAAATTGACCAGTCCCTTCTAAATTACTTAAAATGTTGTACAAATTTGCTGAGAGACAATTTTTAAAAATTAATTGATTTTTTGTGAATTAATTTTGAATATAAGTATAAATAGCAACAAACATTTGCGCTATCAAATGAGTTAGAAATTGGGCCGAAATTCCTTTCACACAAAATATAGAATATTTTATTAAAAAAATAAAAATTAAAGTTAGGCATGGACGTACAGTAGATCCAAACATGGTTTGACTTTAAGAGAGAATAAAATCAGGATAATAAGGGAAAAAATAAAATTTTAAAAAATAATTTAAAATTATAATGTTTGATTTAGTTTGAATCATTTTTTTATTTTATTCAAATTAAATTTAGATATTGAATATATATATTAAATTTAGATTAAATTTTAGATAAAAAATATATAAATTAAAAAACTAAATCAAATCAAATTATATATTTTTTTAGTTTTTATATATATTTTTAAATTTTATAAAATTAAAAAATAATTTTAGATCAAATTTTTTAAAATATATTAAAATTTTATATTAAAATAATATAAACATAATAAAATTAAAATTAAAATCTATAAATCAAATCTAATTAATAAAATTTAATTCGTTTCGAATAAACATGATTTAATTTAAATTCTAATCAAATTTTAAATTTTTATAATATTATATAATATTTAAAATAATTAAATTAAATTATCACCTATACAGAATAGACGTCATTCTCAGTGGTTCACTTTCGATTTTGCGGACAGATTTTGTTTACGAATTCGAGAAAAAAAGCCCAAATACCTACATTCCTAAGGTAACGTAGGCATCAGGCCCATAATTCTTTGGAAACTCAAGTGATCAACGTGGAACAAAAGGGGTCACAGAAATTAATATATAAGATATAACACTACTTTTATTTTAAAGGGCAAGTAAACAAAAAGGGTTTCAAATTGACGTGACAAAAATAACAGTAAGTCTAATTACTTTTTAATAATTTCTCAAACATTTTGAATTTATTTTACTTACCTTAATTAAATATTTGAAAATATATAAATAACTTTAAAATCTCAATATTTAGATTAAAAATCAAACTTTAGGATTATAAAATCATTTTCATAATTATTATTATTATAATTTTTAATCTAATAATCAAAAAGCTCTATAAATATTGAGAAAATATATATAATCCCTCACAAATGTCAAAAATGATACTTCCAATTGTATTCTAACACTCAAATTAATAAAAATACATTTAAAAAAAAGATAAAATCAAAAGTAATTAGAGAAAAAAATTTTAATTAATCAAGATTTCACATACCTTATTTGATCTTATTTTTTATATCTTATAATTAATAACATAATTAATTAAACTTTCACGTGTAATGTCTATTGGTGTAGTAATCAAAATCACGGTTGACATGGTCAATTACGTATAAAAATATCGAAGAAGACGTTGACAAAGGTCATTGAATTTGAGGATAGATTTGAGAAACTGTTCCTTTAGCTCAATTCATGAACCAATTTTCCAAAACCCCTGACCAAGTTTTATATTTCCCATCCCAAACTTCGAAAAAGAAAAATAAACATGTCAATTTTCACTTTCCAACATGCACGTGGTAAACACCTGTGCGTACTGAGTTTGTAAACTGAAAGCTTAGCTGGAAGCAAAAGTGCGATAAGCCATTCGCCACCTGGAACTTGGATTTGGGATTAGACTTTTCTTTCTCCAATCTCAGCCTCTTCACCCAATGTGGGAACCGTGGGCTTTCCCAGCTGGCTCACTATCTTATGCGCGTCCGTGTGTAAATCGCAACATCTGCCCCACCCTTGCTTCCTGAAAAACTATATATATCATTCTCTCACTCTCCTTGCTGCTTAAAACTCCAAAGTTCGAGTAGGCAGCTTAGATTCAACTTCAAAACTGAATCCAGAAATCATAATCTCAAAACAGTTTACAAGACTTCACTGCTCTCTTTGCTGCTAAAAATCCCAACCAAAAAGAGTTACCCAAGTTAATTAGCCGCAATTCTCTTCATAAAACTTGACCACAGTACCGTACGCACGTTCCCAAATGGATATTTCAAGTCAATTCTCTGACCTTTTCTCCTTCAAGTCTTACTCCATGCCAGCTGATAGGTTGGAGCCATCGTCACCGTCTGAAGCGGGCACTGGACGCCAGGGTGCTCACTCTGATGAGGAAGTATATTTACTAGCAACGAGCAGACCTAAGAAACGTGCAGGGAGGAGAATATTCAAGGAGACACGACATCCGGTTTTTAGAGGGGTTCGAAGAAGGAATAAAGATAAGTGGGTATGTGAATTGCGGGAGCCTAATAAAAAGGCTCGGATTTGGCTTGGTACTTATCCCACCCCAGAAATGGCTGCACGGGCACATGATGTAGCTGCAATAGCATTTAGAGGCAAAGCTGCCTGCCTTAATTTCGCTGACTCTGCTTGGAGGTTGCCTGTACCGGCTTCAAAAACTGCAAGCGATATTAGGAGAGCAGCAGCAGAGGCAGCAGAGGCATTTAGGCCTCAAGAATTGAAGGAACTTTCAGGTAGCGACGCGAGACAGGAAAGTGTCAAGGCTTCAGATGGTGAAGTTTCCAGCAGTGACTGTAACTTTGGGAACAAGAAAACAGTGGCGGACAAAGTTCACTTCGTTGACGAAGAAGCAATGTTCGACATGCCAAAGTTGCTTGTCAGCATGGCTGAAGGTCTTCTACTTTCTCCGCCTAGGAATTGGGATGATGCTGATCGTGATATCGATGTGACTTTGTGGAGTTACTCAATTTGATTGGATCGGATTTAGTGTACATATTGCATGGTTTTGTAATATGATGCTTTATTAAGGTTTCGGATGTAGAAATAGCATCGACGTATTGTAAAAGGATGTTGAATTTGAAGTCAAGGGCATGTAATATATACAACTTCTAAGAAGTCTTTTGTTTCAATGGGTCTTCTCTGTTTCCTACGAGTCAAGCACTTTTAGAGGCTCAGAATCCAAGGAATAGAAGACGGAACTGGTTTCCTCGTCTTTGTGGGCCTCTTTTGCTTAAAACGTCTTGATGCAGTACGGTGATATTGATATATGTTTTTATCCAATTTGGCAAAACAATTGAAAGTGAAAGCGCGTGGGAAAGTAAATGGCATCGCTCTGTTACCTGGGTGGGAAAAACCCGTACTTGGCAGCATAATGCCAACCTATTGAAAGCTAACAATTGTAACTCTGTAAGCTGTGAGCCCCGTTAGAGGCAAGTGAAGGGAAGGAGGCAAGGGGATGTGGTCTAAAACATAAAATGGAGTAAAAATCAAAGTTGAGGTAAGCTTAATCAACCCATTATTTCGGACCAAGATCAAACGAGGCAGCATTCAGCTCAGCCACGCTAGCCTGAGAGCTTTCTTTGTGACATGAAGCTTTATGGGAAGGATATCCTCGTGGATATCTTAGACACGGATCCTATTAACATGTTGGATTCTTAACCAGTTCATAATTAAAATGAATCCAGCTCTGAAGATTTAATGAGTAAAGTGCAGCATAGGTTTCATAAATTCTACATTCACAAAGATTAACCTTGTTTTGGGCGCAGTCATAGCTCGGTCTGTAAGCTACATATGACCCATGAGTTGTTGTGCAGTAGTCTGTCGTTTCAGGCAACAAACTGTATCTGAATTTGAACCTGGTTTCTTGACGAGGTTTCAGCCACTTGTTTCCAAGATAATTGTCTGTTAGATCATAACGAAAGCATCTAACGGGTGCTTTATGGGATATGGAATTGGTTAAGTAGATTTCATGCAATGGAAGCTCTACGGGTTTCTTGCATTTTGCCCCAGACAAGGAGGTTTCATACAGCACCAAAACAAGCAACAAAATGAAATTTCCGGTGTTCTTGTTCATGGTGATGATGAATGATATCCTGTTGAAGATCCCGGGCGACTTACTTGCCTATCAATTTATAATAAAGGGAAATAAATTCCAAGTAAGAAAGGAATTAAATTTCTTCTTCTTTACTGCTATTTATTCACTTGAACTGATTTCATTAACTCTTTGAGCACTGAAATATAGCAATTAGTACAATTAACTGCCAACAATATTTGTTTGCATGGAATCTGATGAATTCCACCAGCTTCATATTTTCTTTAGTTTTGAGGCTGATACACAGAAAGAGTGATACTGATATTTGAAAGTCAAAAGACTTCTTTTTGCACTAAGGGGCAAGCTATCTGCAAGGACCCCACTGCCTGCTATAGCTAAGCAAGTGCGGGAAGCAGGGGATACCACGTGTTTACATTTTGTACGTACATGAACCCTTCATCCATGTTAGAAGCGTGTTAACACGGTGTTATTTTATATTTAATAAATATTTATAATTTTATATTAAATTAAATTTTTTTATTTATAATTAATTAATTTTAAAATAAATATTTAACGTGATATTAAAATTAAATTTTTTTTTACTTTTTATAAATTTGTCATGTAATAAAAAAATAATTTTTATTTACACATGATAAAAATTTATTAATATGATATTATCTCATATCTAATAAATATTTATAATTTTATATTTAAATTAATTTTTTATTTATAATTAATTAATTTTAATTTAAATACTTAATAAATCGTATGCAATGATCGTGACCATATATAGGAGAGTGCGCGTATATGAATAGGACCAGGACCCTAGTGATTAGAAAGTGATGACCATGATCTTGGTGGAAGGGATTCGTAAACGATGGAAAAGCAAATTTGAGCTTAAACTATTCCCTTATCTTGTTCCTATATATTGTGACATGTGTATCTGCCAAATGTTTTGAATACCATGCGTCACTTTTCCTTATGAAAATGAACAAATGAAACCTGCTTATACAAACAACCTTAATGTCCACGCTCCAAAAAAAAAAAAAAAAAGATACAAATACACTTGAATGAACATAAATGTGTAGTAGCTGAATTTGATAGCTCAAAAGTAAAATGCTGAAGATTTTGGGGTCAAAACAATAAAAATGTGTGAAACAAAGGGTGATATAAACAATTTTGCAAAATTTGCGGGGCCAGTTTTGAATATTGGGAGAATAAATTTGTTCACTCCCAGCTAATACGCGGATGCAAATCCTCAACTTTTTGTCTGTGGGTCAGAGCTTGGAATCAGGATTTGCCATTGCTTTTGCTATCGCCACCGGCTCTGTGCCGTACGTTTCCCCTGTTTCTGCTCCAACGCATACGGCAATTATCCTTGGTGTTAGAAAATCGGAGGTGGAAATAGCTATTGTGGATCCCACTCTGCCAGATGCGGGCCCTACCTTTAGCCGCCAGGACACGTGGCTTGAAAAGGAAGTACACAGCAACGGTGAGATCTGGTAGCTCATGGCCTGAGCACCTTTTCTGATATCTCGCGTTCTTTCAGTTTGCGATAATTCACCTTCCCGTTTTAATACAAAGAAGAAAACTCTAAGGGCGCGTTTGTTAAAATTAATAAGGAAATTTGGGAAAAATTAGAAAGTGAATTAAAGGCATTTTCTTTAACTTTTTTAATGTGATTGCAAATCATTATTAACAATAACATATATTTGTTATTTATTAATTCTTAAAAAGGATATTTTTAATTTAAATTTCTATGATAGCCAATTTAAAAACTCAACTATCAAGTTTGTAACAACCCTTATAAAAAATTTAAATGTTTCAATATAAAAGACAAAGTGGAAAAGAACAAAGAAAAAATTTGATGCTAGTAGAATATATATATATATGAGAATTGAAATTAAATTAAAATATTTCTCTTAGCAACTACCAATTCTTTAAAATCATTTCTTAAATTTTATTTGTATTATCATATAATAACCTTAAAAAGATATCATCTAATAATTGTGAAATTTAAATATTAATATTTATAATTTTTTATCTCAAAATTTTTTTTGGTAAAAGATAGTATTGAATAAAAAAACAATTTTTAGATTTATAGAAAGTTGAAAATAATAAGAGAAATAAAATGAAATTTTAATGGATTAATTCCATAATTGAATTTGATAAGAATAAAATTCTTATAATTTTTTAAAAAATATTAATATATGATTAACTTAAATATAAAGATTATATTTTTACATGAATTTCAATTTGTTAAAATTTATAAAAAAATTATTTTTTATAAACTCATTAGCCTAATATAAATAATTTATTTAAATCAATTTTAAAAAATATATATTAAAGGAATCCCAAAAACTCTTCATTAAAAAAAATTCATGGGAAGAACCGTCCCAACCTAAAAGTCAAAACTCTCCTTGTATAAACATACAAGTATCTTTTGATTCCATTTTCTCGAGAAAAATTTCCGAGAATTTACAGATAAACAACCCAAAAAATGTGTTGGGATTGGGAAGCTTGAAAAATATTGAATGACTCCATCTTTCTCGACGGCTCGACCCAAATACTTTATTTTTCTTCCCTTTTAAGTCGTGAGCTTTGTTGCAACCTTTTTCCCTGAGAGAGAAAGAAACACATAGACTCACACTCCACAAACGCTCCCTCTCTCCCGTAAATTTGATGCAACCTTTATTTTTGGTGAGAGGGAGAGTAAAGGAGAAATATTTTTAAAAATCTCATTTTGATACTTACCTTCTTCTCGTTATAATAATAAAAATCTACCCTTTTTAGCTGTCAGTTGAGGTGATAAAATAAACAAGAAAAGTGTTGTTTGAAGACCCTTTTTTCATCTGTTTTCTGGGCTTTATTCCGTTTTTTTTTTCAGGGGTTGAATTTTTTTGGAGGGGGGGTTTGGGTTTGGGGTTTAGTGTTTGGTGTTTGGTAAATTAAACGATCAGGACTTGTTGAAAGGAGATGAAAAGCGAGGATCAAGCAAGGTATTTGTTTCGAATTTCCCTTACAGAGACCAAAATGGCAACAGTTTCTTATTTGTTCATCTGGGTTCTTCTTTGGTTACCTTGTTAATGGCGTCTGTGAGGTTTGTTCTTCCTGTCTTTTAACATTATTTGACCCCTTTTTGGGTGATCAATGAGCAACTTTATGAAAATATTTCATTTTATTAACAATGGCGTCTTGACTCTGCATGTGACCAATTCCCAGTCATGCATGCCGAATTTTTTTCTGTGTTTGTTTGCTGAGAAAATTATGGAAGAGGAAGAGACTTAGGAAATTCTAATAGTATTAGTATATTTTTTTATTGTTTGGTTGTCAAAAGTTGGCAATGGATTAGTTGAAACGTTGGTCTCAAGTATTTTCTCTGTATTTACCATGTCATTGCTTTGACTAGTTGATTTCTATGGTCAAATTATTCAATGAATATTTTTACGCTGTTTTATTGTATTTAATTTCCCATTTCAATCGCATGAGGCCTTGGGTCAGTGGCAAAGAAGAGGTCCTCTGATTCTTGAGCTTTTAGGTTTAAGTCTCAATGAGTGTGGGTTTGGTTGTTTAGATATGTTATAGTTTATTAGTTTATTAAATATGATGTAATCCTTGATTATGAGTGTAACTTCAATAAAAAATTACCATTTCAATCTGATGGTTGATGTGTTATTTTGCTTAATTGTAGGAATATGTGTATAACAGGCTTCAGTTCAGGTACATTCATCAGAAATTTCCCACATTTTTTTATCTGTATATTTCTTGAAATATGCCAGCTTCCACAAGTATACTTGGATTTTTATTGACTTAAATCTTGCAAATGTTTCAGCTATGGATGGTATTTTACTTTTGTACAAGGATTTGTTTACCTGATATTGATACGGCTTCAAGGCTTCAGTATGAAGCAAATGGTCAATCCATGGAAAACATATGTGAAACTGTCTGCTGTTCTCATGGGTTCTCATGGATTAACCAAGGGTTCACTGGCCTACCTTAACTACCCTGCACAAATTATGTTTAAATCTACAAAGGTAACGAGTCAAAAACTGTGTATATTGTTCTTTCTGAAGCTATTGTAAAATTCTGCAATGTAATTTAAGATGCTCTCTCTCTTCTTCTTCTTTTTTTTTTTTTTTCTGTTAATTCTAACGATCTACTTCTGTTGTCTGGAATTTTAGGTACTGCCAGTTATGATCATGGGTGCCTTCATCCCTGGCCTGAGAAGGAAATACCCATTTCATGAATACATCTCTGCTCTGCTTCTTGTAGTTGGCCTCATTCTTTTTACCTTAGCAGATGCCCACACATCTCCAAATTTTAGCATCATTGGTGTTATAATGATTTTGGGTGCTTTAATTATGGATGCTTTTCTGGGTAATTTTCAAGAAGCAATTTTCACCATGAATCCAGACACAACCCAGGTTTGCCATAGAATTTTCTGATATCTGTTTGAAACAAGAACTAACAATTCATTCTCTTCTGCAGATGGAGATGTTGTTCTGCTCAACACTAGTTGGGATTCCTTTCTTACTTGTACCAATGATTCTTACAGGAGAACTCGTTAGGGCCTGGAATTCTTGTTCTCAGGTAAAGAGCAATGCCCTCCCAGCCCCCCCCCCCCCCTTCCCTTTTATTTTATTTTATTGATATTATTCTTTCTTGCATTACCCTCTGCCCTGCGAGGGGTCTCAGGTGAAGAAATACTTCCTTTTTTGGATAAGGGAGTTTATTTCATCATCCAAAAAAAGCAGAGAATCTGCTATTAAGTTTAAAAAACTGGAATAAAGCCAGAAACTACAGCTAAGTAACTATCATGACAGACCCAACTATTCCACAGACCACTAGTTAGCACCTAGATTTTATTCCTCTTTTCTTTGGACATTCATTTTAAGTATTTTGATTATTACCATAATCTCTTGTTGCTAATGATGTTTTTGGCTTATGTCGATGAATCGCAGCATCCATACGTGTATGGGGTGTTAGTGTTTGAAGCCATGGCCACATTCGTTGGTCAAGTTTCTGTCTTATCCCTCATTGCTGTCTTTGGTGCTGCTACCACTGCCATGGTAAAATGTACTTGTAATTTCTTTGGATACTTGATTTTCCTAGAAGATCGATTTTCAACTATTTCATGATCTCAGCTAAGCTCTAACTACTAGTTTTCTTGTTGCACCTGCTTGCAGATAACAACTGCTAGAAAAGCTGTCACGTTGTTGCTGTCATACATGATATTTACAAAACCATTAACAGAACAGCACGGGTCAGGGCTTTTGCTCATAGCCATGGGAATCATATTGAAGATGTTGCCAGACAGTAAACCGGCACCTAGGATTCCTGTCTCACTTGTAAATGACAAGCATCTAAAAACCTCATCCAAAGAAGAGGAAAATGTAGAAATTGAAGAAGATGAAGAGAGAAAGCCCCTAGTCTGAAAGATAACGTTCAAGGCCTTAGCCCCTCAGTCAAGATTGCCCCTTTTTCTGTCTGTTTCAAATATTTTCATATTCAACATTCAGCAAGTCTTTTATCCCCTTACTGATCCCACATTCCCACTGCATTATAGGTGAGTAGTAACAAAATAAAAGAAAGTTGGACGTGAGGCACATCTGTAGCAGCTATTGTTGCTCTTGATAAATAACCTTCGTTGTGCTTCTCTAGTCATTTTAGTAATTTTATACATGATATGACGAAAAAATAATACAAAAATATATAAAATATATAAAAAATTAAAAATGACATGATTTAAATTTTAAATAAAAAAATTATATTTGAATTTGATAAAAATAAAATTATATTTCGTATTTAACATGTTAATATAAATTTAGATAAAAATTATATATAAATTTAATAAAAATAAAAATTATATTTTATATATGATGTATCAATATAAATTATAAAATAAAATAATTTTATGGAAAAGTATAATTTTGAGCAAAATTATATATGAATTTAAAAAATTATATATAAATTTAATAAATAAAAATATATTTAATATTTAATGTATTATCATAAATTATGAAATTAATTACAAAAAATAATGTGTTTAAGCTATTTTTATTCTATGGTAAGTACATAATTAATTCCCCAACAAAATGAAAGGGAAGGCGTAGATTTTGTCTTGAATCAAGGATTTAGTGGATGTGCTTTCACCGTACAGGAAGAAGACGACGTGTCGTCTGATTTACAATTTTATATGTAAATGGGCCCATGGGCATCTGACATTATAAGGCTTAGCCTTAGTGGTGGGCCCACTTAAACCAAAATTAAACAAGCACGTGGCCCACGACACTTCGGAAACCAATCCGACGGTCCCAATTAAAAGTCTACTTCCCCACCTGATCGGACGGTCATAATCAACCCATTCCGATTTAAAATTTTTCATAGTAGCCTGATACAAAAGCCATCAAAAATAGTTTTTGGTTTTCTGAAACCTAAAACCCCTTCTTAAAAAAAAAAAAAAAAAAAACTTTGAACAGCCCAATCTCGCCATGAAAGGAACGAAACGTTTTGCCATATCGGGCTCTGCCGCCGATACCAACGATTTTGCTGTGAGTTTTTCCTGAAATTTCACATACTTTTAATTAATTTTTTAAATTTTTGTTGGTTCACTGTTTCCTACCCTGAATTGGTAGCTTAACCCCAATTTGATTTATTTTATTTTATTTTATTTTATTTTATTCTTCTCAATGATAAAATGAAGAAAGCATGCATTTTTAATACGATTTTTTGGTTTCATTGACTTTAAAGTTTCATTGATTAGGAAGTAAATGAGCTACAAACTAAAGACCAATACGTTAAATTTTGAATCTTTTGCAGGTTTTTAGTTTTTCTTAGCTGGCAGATATTTTAGGAAGATTGAATTTTTTTTTTCTAATATTTGGATGTGGGCTTCTTGAGTTTTCAAGAACAGATTTGAGGTTGATAGGAGCTGAAACTGTTGAACTTAGCTGTTATTGTCAATGATTTGTTTCAGCTGCGGTTTTTCTGATTGATGACGATAGAGAAATATTCATTAGAAAAGCTGAGAAAACCAACCGAAACAGTGGACTAGAGCAAATTAATTTCATGTATGGGATGAAGGAAACTGAAAAAGAGAAACTGATTTCAATGCAGTGACTGAAAAGTAGAATAATTTTAACTCTTTGTTTACTTGTCCATAGATAAGAGTGTGCATGCATTGTTTGAAAAGGGGGGGCAGGTAGAGGGCTGATAATGACTATAATGTGTAAATAGTTAGCTGTTATCATTTGATTTTTGATGCATCAGTCATGTTGTCATCAATGATGTTGCAGTTCCGGAATAAAAGAATAATGTCAGGATCTCCTTTTGAAGCTCAAAGGGCAGAACCATGGCAGCAGCAGTCAACTGCAACACCACCACTAGATCCACAGCGAGCTGAGTTGTCTCAGCAGCATGTGAAAGCTCTCAACAACCAATTTGCAAGGTCCAATCTTTCCATCTACTTTATTCTGTGATGTTTCAACAGCTAACTTTTTCTAATGTTTGTTTGGTGATGACTAAGTAACGTTATCTTTTGCTACTTATAAAACATGTTTGATGTATTTCATATTCTTTCAAGCTTTATGTATTAATATCTTAGCAGTCCTTAGAATAGTCAGGTTTCTTTCTTCTGTTGTCCTTGGACATTACTGAACTTATAGATTTGTATTTGTTTCTCCATCACAACATTTTATTTTAACAGTTGGGTGCAATTACAACTGAAGAATCACCCTGATGAGCTTTGGCAAGATGGTGTTCAAGACTACCTAACTCATGCTTCAAACATTATGGTAATTTCTGATGGATTTTCATCCACTTGAGAAATATTTACGGTCATGTATGTGCAGTTTATGTGACTGTATTTGATTGCAAATTTTAGGGCTGTACTGTTGGATTAATTGAGCTCTGATATTAAAGGACTTTGTTTGTGGTTTTGTGCTACTTCTGTTTTTATAAGTTAAGTGTATAGTTTCGTTAATTCATTGATTTTGTTAACCCTTGTGTGCATAAGAGTTTAAACCTTTTAGATGACAAAAAATCAGTGGTATTTATATCATTCTACTAGCAGTTTTCTTGGCAGCTCTAGTTTGTCATATGTGCGTATTTTGAAATTCTGATAACCATTATCTAACCATGAATAGATGGGTTAACTTGGGCTTACATTGCAGATAAACCTTGTTCGAGTATATGTGACTTGTAATCATGTTTAAATACTACTAGTATACAAGACTAGACCACATATATGCAAGACATAGCTGTTTGTGTTTGCTAACTCGAATGGTATACTCCATTTCCTCTTCTGCAGGAGAAGTTCAGTGATGTTTTCAACTGGCTTAAAGCAAATGCAGTAAATGGTGACAGCTTGTATGCTGAGTCTCATAAAAATGAAAGTAAAGTGGTGCCCGAAGCCAAGAAAACTGAGACTAAATTTTTTCAAGGAAAAACTGGATTTACTCCAATCAGCACAACTACAGGCTTTAGTCCAGGCACTACAACTCCGAGCTTTTCTCCAGGCACTACAGCTATGACTTTTTCTCTGGGCACTACAAGTACAGGCCTTACTTCAGCTAATATGACTAAAAAATTTTCTCCTGTGGCTACCACTACAAACTTGACTCCAGCTGGTTCAAACTCAAGCTTTACATTTGGCGGTACAACCACAAATTTTACTTCAGTCAGTACAACAACTAGCTTTACTTCACCTGGCATGACTACAAGCTTTGCAACTCCTTGGAGCTCTGGAGCATTTTCCAATAGTCCGACTCCTAACTTGTTTGGTAGGAGTTGCATTGACTTTCTACAACAAATATTTATATGAAGGATTTTAGTTGTGTCATTGGACATCATTTGATTGAAGATATTAAGACAATTGCATGTGCCTTTTATAAAAGAACAAAAGTTTTAAATGGCAACCTCAATTGAAGTCAACAATTTGGAAGCTATTTGTGTTACGTTTGTCAGATTGATACAAATTTACATCCTATTTGGTATTTCCAGGAACTCAAAGCTCAGTAGCTATGAACAATAATGTATTGGAAGATGCAGATGATGGTAGGAAAATGAAACTTTTTCTTTTAGACTTTATTTACTGTATATTTTCTATGTTTAAAGCCATTATTTCATTAAATTTTTGTCATGTAAACTTTTTCTTTTCATCTCTAGGTTATTTCTCTTTGTTGGTTTTAAGTAGATAGGTTAACTCTCTCTCTCAACTTTTCTATTTTTCTTTTCCTTTTTCTCATTTCTTACATGGTAATGAGTGTCATTTGGATTGTTAGAAAATGAGTTGCCACAGCCTAGCAGCCCATCAGTGAAGAAGTCAGAAGAGAAGGGTATTGTTGTTGTTCATGAAGTCAAATGCAAGCTTTATGTCAAAGTATATCCTCTGAAAACTTGTACTTATTCTGTAGCAATTTATGGATCCACATACTCTTGACTTCTGAGATGGTGTTTGATCTGCCTTCTATTGTGTAATATCTTTCCTTCCCTTTTGTTATGCCAGTCAACTGATCCAGCAGATAAAGATTCATGGAAAGATAGAGGCTCAGGGCAGCTTTCCATCAAATGCAAAGAGGGTATCAGCAAGGGTTCAAAAGATTCCAAGCCAACAATTGTTGTTCGAAATGACGTATGTTTCTACATGGGCATGTAATACTTTTAGAAACTTGATTCATGCATGAGCTGTTTAGAGCTAGCAGATATGAGATAGTTCACTTTAAATCACTGCCCTGACAAAAAGTTCTGTGTCTTTTAACTAGCTTTAACTTCTATAACCATCTACTTGTTGCAGGTGGGAAAGGTGATACTTAATGCTTTGCTATATCCAGGGATGAAGACAAGTGCACAAAAGAATTCCCTTGTTGCAATATTTCATACTTTGGTAATATATTTGAAAGCCAAATATTTCGATATTTCAGACGTTCGGTTTTCTAATTTTGGTATTTTATGCTGTTCTGATAAAGTATAACTCTATAAGTTTATTCTTATTTTCTGTTTACAAAGATTACTTAGCATAGCTTCTGGCCAAAGCAGCAGCTGGAATTCTTTATCCTATATCCTATTAGAGCACTCAGTAGCTTAGGTTGTTGCTTTCTGATTTTTTTATTTATTTACAGCAGTGGTCTTTGATTTTTCAACATGTCAAAGATGTCATTATTAAATTTATCAGCTATTATTGTAGATTATCGTCCACGAAGACATTATTTTGAAATACAAGTAAATACCAAACTCAACAGTTACATATACTTCTTATTTAGGGGCTTCAGATGAAAGGGTTTGGGATAGGAAATTAACATTTAATTCTCTACCATAAACTGTTGAAGGTAACATTAGGATCCATTGCCTGATGCAATACTAACTCTTGAGCTCACAAGTATGGTACAAGTTCAATCTTGAGAGCAAACAGTTTTAGCAAAAAGCTAGAGACCAATTCCATTTCCATGTTACCCTCCAGGACCCCACTTTGGTGGGATCATATGTGGGAAAGACCCCTGTAGGCTGCTCAGAAGGTTGAGATTAGTAATAAATGTGTATAAAGAGCTAAGCATGCTGAAACTGTGCAGTGTACCCTTACTGACTTTGGAATTTGGATGTGGAATTGGTGACAAATATGTTGGTAGTTAGAATCTTTGAAAAGTGTTGATTTTGACCATAACAGTCTTTTCGGCATAAAATTGTCTTGCAGAATTTGACCATTTTTATTATGTTTTAAGTTGTTAATTTTACAGAGTGGCTTCTTTTGGATTTTGTAGGATGATGGTGGCAATAGCGATAATGCTGTGGCACGTACCTTCTTAATTAGAACAAAATCAGAGGAGGACCGAAATAAACTGGCAGCAGTTATCCAAGAGTATGCCCCTGCTTTCTAAGACCATAGGTGACATCATTTTATCCATTATTTTGAGCCCCAGAAAATATAATTTAATCCTGAATGAGTGCAATTTCCCGGATATTACTCTTTTACATTCTTGGGGACTCCAGCTTGTTCTGGTGACTCCAAAAGCAACGGGGCCTATTTTCGTAGTCAGACTTAAAATGAGATTATTGTATGCCCACAGCAGTTGTACCATAAACAGATATTGCAGTATTTATTTTGCTGAAAAATCCCGAGGAACTCATTTTTTTTTATTCCTATTACATCTGTTGGTTGCCTGTTTCAAGCCAGATGCTGAAAGCATACTACTGAAATGAACTTTGTTCGATTATTGTTTAGAAAGTTACCCTGTCCACAATATCCTCTGTCTATTGTCAGCTGCATCTGTTTATCCCGTTCATCCAGCGATGTAAATGCTGGTGCAGTAGTACTCAAAAGAGTTAAGGGAGACAAGAATAACCAGCAATGGGCTAATGGAATATAGTTCGATTCTCTCGAAATGTAGTGATAGTGGAAAACTGCATTTTCAAGTATTATCATTGGAAATTACAATTTACAATAAGGGATAAAAAATGTTTCGCCCATGTTACAGTGCAGCTTGTTACAGATGAATAAGTTCTAGACTATTACATCATGTGATTCCGTACATAAGCCAATTTCACTCTTCGAAATCAGGAAAGCATCATCACTCAAAACACAACATTAAATTAAGTCAACAGATTCTTTTTAACCAGAGCTCAGCTCCCTCAGATTTGATGAAATGTCATATCTGCATCAAGTTCCCGGCGTTGTCACGTTTTTTTTCAGTCAATATCAGTATAAGTAGTTGTTTACTTTTGCCCAGCAGTATGGTCTATCTTTGTATAAACGACTCTAGCAGACAAGTGATAGTCTAAGTGATGGTGTAGTAGGAATATGAGTGCAGGATGCCCAGCGGATAACTGACTCAGTCACCACGAGGTCAAAGTGATCAAACTCACCAATACCAATAGTGTTATTCCTTTTACTATGAATCCATGCATGGCGGTATCCATCAGTTCCAGCCCTACGAATTTCTGCTTTTTGTTCCAAATCTCCTGCCTTGTTTTTCTCTGGTACTGAAGAAGCTGGCACCATAAATTGCTTTACCGTGTTTGATTCTGTGGAGTGAAATAAAGAAGCCAGCGTAAGGTTAACTTAGAAAAGTAAAAATTTTGACAATTTATGTCGTTTTTTGGCATGATGATTCTCCATCCAATTGTTTTAGATATAGCTGTCATTTTCATTATGGAAAACAGCCACTAGTTTCAAGTTCCATCAGCCATTTTTCTTAGTTTCAACCAAAAGCAAACTAGCAGCCTCTAGCCAAGAATAAAATGAAAACAACTACCTCCATATTCGTTGCTGATCTTTGATGTCCCCGCTTTAGTTTCCAGTGAAATATTTAGTGGTTCAACAGCAGCTATTGGACTGAAGAAAGTAAAGCTTGGCATTGATGAAATTAGAGATGAAAATTCCGCTGCACTTGATTGACGGCAACTTCTAAATGAAAAACCCACAGATTCACAGCAAGGGCTGCCATTTTCAACTAAGAAAGACGAAAATGATGATTTGCAAGTGAATGCAGGTGTTCCCAGTTGGCCATTGGCAGACACAGGCGATCCATCACCGAAGCTATAATCCTGATTTCTTTTGATGAACGGTGTTGAGAAAGAATTTCCTCCTACTTCGAGCTCTCTGCAATCAATGTTGTCGTGCTCGTATGCTTCTTGAGCTACCTGTCTGCACTCCACCCAGGGGTGAGCTGTGAAGGGCATTGACTTGTATTAGAAACTACGAATTGGAACAAACTCTTTTTGTAGTGCTGAAAGACTAGTTTTGAAACCATGCTAGAATTCAAATGTATAACATGCAACTTTCCTCCTTCCTAGGACAGTGTCAAGAGGAAACAAGCTCTGGACTCCTGCAATATTGCATTAACTAAATACTTATCGTAACCACCCCTTAGCTTCTTTTTTGATCGACCCAAACACATATTGTTGAATTTTTTCTTATGAACCTCCAAACTGAGTATTTGACGATAAAAGTCTGAAGTGCTTTCAACTTTCAAGCATAGGCTAATGGTCTAAAGAGTGTGGTTAGCATTCTTTTCTCTTGATTAAAACATGTTTGTACTATGAACTAATTTGTTAAATAAATTGTCAATTATTGGCTAATTTTGTGCCTTTTTACTGTCACAAAACAAGCAACCAAATTACTAGTTTCAAAGCCTCTTATTAACTTGCTATGCAATTATTTGTACTCAGCACAGATAAAAATTGATCCATCAACTTACCTAGAACTTGTGCTGCAGTGAGCCTCTTAGAAGGGTCTACAGAAAGCATTCTAGTGATCAAATCCTTGGCGGATACGGAGATGTGATCCCAGGGATCAGGAGGGAATCTTAGATCGGCGGCCCTAACAGCATCAAATATCTTTGACTTAGTCTTCCCCCCAAAAGGAGGCATTCCACTTAGAAGAATATACAAAATAACTCCTGCACTCCATACATCAGCAGCTTGATTATAACCTCCTGTCAAAACCTCGGGGCTATATAAAATGGACTACCAACAGTACCATGCAAACTTTGCCCTGTTAACATGAAACCAAAATTCTTTCATTACAAAAATCACTGACCAAATGTTGCTTTCGAGATGCACTAAATGAAATAAAAAGAACATAGAGACCTCACCCTGTTTTATATATGTTGCAAGACCAAAATCTGCCAGTTTAATTGGAGAGGATGAGGATTTAGTTGCTAAGAGAATATTTTCTGGCTTCAGATCTCTATGAACAATGCCATTATCATGACAGTACTCGACCACTTCCATCAAATGCTTAAAAAAAACACAAGCGTCAAACTCAGAAAACCTCCCACATTTCTCAAGGCGATGGAAAAGTTCCCCTCCTGCACATAACTCCATCACCAAGTGCACAAAGTCCTCATCTTCATAAACTGCCTTTAGATCCACAACATTCGGGTGCCCTGATAACTTAGTCATTATTTCAATCTCAAGCTTGATGCTGCAGAAATCATCTGGTGTGACCAACCTATCTTTAGCAATGGACTTGCAAGCCAAAACCTCACCAGTTAACTTATCTGAGCATGTCCTAATCACACCAAACTGCCCCCATCCTAATTGCCCTCCAAGAACATACCGATCTCTCAAATTTGATATTTGAGTTGTGTCCAAAATCGTCTTGGTAAGGCTAGTAACCTTGTAACAGTTGCAGAACTGGATTGAAGGAAGGCTAATATTCTCACTAGTGGCAATTTCCATGCCAATGAGGGTAACTACAATTATAGAAAGACACCCTTCAACATCTCACTAGCAACGTCAAATGATATGGAACTACCATCTTTTCTTCTCACTTTGCAATCTAATCCATGAGTTTCTAAACTCCTAGACCAGGCATGAGATTAATTGTGTGAAACAACACATTTACCATTATACAAAGAAGCAACTTCTAACAATAGCTTCTTATGATAGACAGTTAAACACTAATCAGGGATAGCCTTGTTGACCCTCCTCATAAACTGAATAATTTCCACAGCTAGAGACCCAGAAAGCTTTGATCTTCTGCGATTATCACCTACAGCAAAACCATGAATTCTAAATCTTTAGACAACTTGCTTAAACCCAGTTCTGGCTACTTTCTTTTTTATTTTTTTCCTCACTCTTTTCTACATATACATATTCCTCTTACTTAGTTGCAAGATACAGCAAAATTCAATCACAAACCATTCTTCAAATTCTCTTCGCAGATCCATAACTAAATTTAAACTTAGCATAGAAAAGTAAACCTCCCAAAGCAAAACTCAAACCATAGCTCTAAAACCCACAACCTTAACCACCCGGAAGGAACCCATGATACAAGTCATGTCATAACATAGTTTACAAACAACCATACAACCCAATACCAAAACACAATCACAAACGACCAAAAACAAGAAATCCCAGAAAAATTTACATAAGAAAAAGACAAAGTTTAAAGCTTTTCAACTAAGCAAAAGTAAAATGCATCAAAAGAACACACATTTTTCAATCACCTGAAAGAGAGAAGAGACAGACCAGCTTAGCAAATGCGTTGAACAAGTACGTACTATGTTTTCTGGCAAAGTCTACAGCTTTTTTTTTTTTTTTTCCCAGGGTAAAAAAAAAAGCCTTGGTTTTTAATTTCTGATTAAAAAAATATCTTCCCATGTAACCGGCAATTAGATTTAATAATTTGAGGTATTATGTGGTATAAAATATTTTATTTATATAATATTTTACATAAAATTTACATATTATAATTTATATCAACATAAAAATATAAAATATATTTTTTAATTTTTTAAATTTTATTTATAATTTTTTAAAAATTTTAAATTATATTAATTTTTATATCTTTTATTTATATTACTTTATATCACATCCATCCAAATTATCAAATCTACCGGCAATCCAAGTAGCCTGTTTCCATGTTCATGGTATCATGATTTTAATATTACTATTTTTTTTTATGCTTTGTTTTGTGGGAATATTAAGCATTACCCAACAACGTGCACAATCACCACTTGGTCTGCCACGTGTCCCATTGCCTCTGGGTGGTGAACACTAAGCATTACCCAACAATGTGCAAATCACCACTTGAGTCTGCCACGTGTCCCGTTACATCTAGTTGATGATTTGGGTCCCACAAACTTCATGGCTTTATTTACTGAACTACCATCCGCATGGACATGCGCAATGATGATTAGCTCCCACACACCAGCATATGGAGACAGCATTACCCCATTCTTTTAATCCAAGGAAACTTCTCTCTATTATTTATTTAGTTTTTTATTCAAGTTTGACAAAGGATGGATTGGTAACAAACGAAGAATTTTAATTTAAATACCTTCAAAGAAAGTTAGGTGTTTACTGTCGTTATTATTATAATTTTTTTTTTATTTTTTACATTTGTCTTTTTATAATTTTTTTCTTAATTTTGAATATTTATTAATATTTAAATGGCTTATTTATTATTATGGTATTTATATTTTTTCCCTTTTTGCTATTTATATATGTTGTAATTTTTTTCCTTTCAAAAAAAAAATATGTTGTATTTTTTTTGTTTAATTATTATTATTATTATTATTATTATCAAGTATAGAATAGAATATTTTAGTAGAATAGGACGTACAACGGTATATAACAGTCCCCATCAGATTAAGGGCCCC